CATATGTTAAATTGTTGGGAATGCAAGGAGACAGGGAGAATACCAAAAACCCTTTTTGACCTTAAATTCCATAACTTAGTAAGCTAAATATTTAGGTCAGGTAAGGTCGGGGAGTAGGGAATATTACCTTCACCGCACTTACCTGCAGCCAGAGCCTGAACATTTTGGGCACAAGGGCACATCTTACGTAAATCCCAGAAACCATGGGAATTGGACGCTGTTCATAACTCCAAAGTCTTCAGGGCTAGAAAACTGCCCGGTAGCAAGCTGACTACCATTCACTTAGCTGCCCTCTAAAGCTTTGTTTTGCAATAAATGCTGGTATTAGTCTAAATAAAATAATTTATCATCCTCTGTCAAATTTATTTCCAGGAAATACTGGTATATATGGGAGTGTGTATACTCATGTACATACATTGCAAGGACTAAGAATTATGGTTATAAAATTATCTCCAAAGGCCGGGTGCGGTGGCTCACGCCTATAATCCCAGCACTTTGGGAGGCCGAGGCGGGTGGATCACGAGGTCAAGAGATCGAGACCATCCTGGTCAATGAGGTGAAACCCCGTCTCTACTAAAAATACAAAAATTAGCTGGGCATGGTGGTGTGTGCCTGTACTCCCAGCTACTCGGGAGGCTGAGGCAGGAGAATTGCTTGAACCCAGAAGGTGGAGGTTGCGGTGAGCCAAGATCGTGCCATTGCACTCCAGCCTGGGTAACAACAGCGAAACTCTGTCTCAAAAAAAAAAAAAAAAAATTATGTCCAAGGTTAGAGAAGACTAATATATTCTATGATTCAGGTGTTTATGAGAACAGTATTAAATGTGGTTGCCGTAATTAAATTGGGCTTCAGAGTTGTCTGGCTTTGAAGACAAAGGCTATTTTCTCTACTACTCTCATACTCCTGGGTGCCTGTCCCAGTGGGGGCTGTTTAGGTGCTTGGCAAATATATGGTGATTGTCTAGTGAAGGAAGAAAAATCCACATTACAATTGGTTGAGCTGAGACGTTACACTCACAATCTTTGGCTCCCGGAGTTGAAGACTCTTTCATTTCCTTTCAATTCTAATTTCATACACATAGATGGCATATTTGTTTCACTATCTGGCTTTTATGACAAGGTACTATTTATCTTTGGGGTGTGAATAGCAAGGAGATACAATTACCTGGGTATCACAATTGGAGTAACCACTTAGAAATATCAGAGCAAGTGAAACCAAAGTGGCATGCCAGATTATAAAGCTTCAGTGACTTGGCCAGAGTGTGATCCAGAGGGCAGCCAGAGCCTTAATCATCTCTGAAGCAGCCTTAGCACATCCTCTGTGGGTGGTTTCCTGGAAGTGAGAGAGAATAAAGAAGATAGGTTTGGTATAGTGGTTTATGCCTGTAATCCTAGCACTTTGGGAAGCTAAGGTGGGAGGATTTTGCTTGAGCTCAGGATTTCAAGACCAGTCTGGACAACAAGAAAGACCTTGTCTTTACAAAAAAAAAAAAAAAAATTAAAAATTAGCCAGACATGGTGGCAGGTGCCTGTGGTACCCAGCTACACAGGATCACTTGATCCCAGGAGGTTGAGGCTGCAGTGAACTGTGTTCACACCACTGCTTTCCAGCTTTGGTGACACTGAGACCCTGTATCGGGGGGGGGGGGGGAACACAGGAAAGAAAAGAAGATAATGGCCAACTTAGGCAACTTGAGGACTGTTGGTTCCGGTTACACCAATCTAGCTATAGAGGATTAAAGGGAGAAAGGAGAGACAAAGCTAAAACCTATTGTGTGGGAAAAAAAGACAAGAAAAAAAAATCCTATCCTATGTAGATTGTCGAACAGTTGTTCCTTTATGAGCTTACAGTAAGAATTACTTTTTCTCTTTTGAGGCGGAGTCTTGCTCTGTCGCCCAAGATGGAGCACAGTAGCACAATGTTGGCTCACTGCAACCTCCGCCTCCTGGGTTCAAGTGATTCTCCTGCCTCAGCCTCCTGGGTAGCTGGGACTACAGGTGCACACCACCACACAAAGCTAATTTTTATATTTTTAGTAGAGATGAAATTTCACCATGTTGGTCAGGCTGGCCTCGAAACCCAACCTCAGGTGATTCACCTGCCTCAGCATGCCATTGTGCCCAGATGAATTACTTTTTCTTTAAGTATAGGCTCCTGAATATTTCCCATGTTTTCCTACTACTGAAATTTATAAAGCACTGAATGTTGGCAATGGATAGGCCCTCACTCATCACTATCTCAATATGTCATTTTAAAATGATTTAATAAGCAGGACTCTTTCCAGTATAAGTGGCAGAAACCAAACTCAAACTAACAGTGAAAAAGGGAATTTAGTCTTGGTAAGGTGACTCACGCCTGTAATCCTAACAGTTTGGGGGGCTGAGGCAGGCAGATCACTTGAACCCAGGAGTTTGAGAGCAGCCTAGGCAGCACAGCCTAGTCTTTACAAAGAAAAACAAAAATTTTTTTAATTAGCAGAGTATGGTGGCATGTACCTGTAGTCCCAGCTACTCAGGAGGCTGAGGTGGGAGGGTCGCTGGAGCCCAGCAGATGAAGGCTGCAGTGAGCCGTGATCATGCCACTGCACGCCAGCCTGGGTAACAGAGCAAGACGCTGTTTCAAAAAAATAAAGGAATTTATTCATTCATAACCAAAAAGCCCAAAGAGATATCTGGTTTACATATCACTATATGTAGGAGCTTAAGCCAAGTTTTTAGTCTTCTCTGTTTCTTCATCTGCTTTCCTTTATGTTAACTTCATTCTCAAGTAGTGCCTTCCCACATAGTTGGAGCAGTTCCAACCCAAGTCCCACCCAGGGCTAACTCTGATTGGCCTGGAGTAGTCAGCCCCTGAACCAGTCACTGAGACCGTGGAGCTTCAGCTGGACCAGGAGTCAGCAGTACCCAAACCACCTGGACTGAGGGCAGGAGAAAGTGATCCCCAAATGAAAATCGAAATGCTATTATTAGAGGGGCAATTAATACGATGTGGGAGTTGGAGAGGAAAGATGTCCTCTATTGGGTAAAAGGAGTTCCAAAGATGCAATTTTTTTCCCCCCACAAAGCTTGGGGTTTCCATAGAAAAGACATTGGTACATGAACAGTGAGAAGAGTGATTGCTTTTCTCAGGTCTCCCTGTGTATTAGTCCATTCTTACACTGCTGTAAAGAACTGCCTGAGAGTTGGTAATTGATAAAGGAAAGAAAAATTGACTCACAGCCCCACATGGCTGGGGAGGCCTCAAGAAACTTACAATCATGGTGGAAGGGAAAGCAAACATGTCCTCCTTCACATGATGGGCAGGAAGGAGAAGTGTCAAGCAAAAGAGAGAAAAGCCCCTTCTAAAACCATCAGATCTTGTGAGAATGCACTCACTGTCAGGAGAACAGCATGAGGGTAACCTCTCCCATGCTTCAATTTCCTCCCAGCAGGTTTGTCCCAGGACACATGTGGATTATGGGAACTATAGTTCAGGATGAGATTTGGGTGGGGACACAGCCAAACCATATCACCCTACCTAAGTTAGACAACACACCCATACACAGTGAAAAGCAAACCCCATGTGGAGGACATCTAGATATTGACATTCTAACGAGCTCTCAGGGTGGATTGTTTCTGCCCTGAACCTGTGTTGATTATTGGTAGTTGAGATTCTGAAGATGTTGCAAAGACACCTGGGGTGTGGCCACCGAGATGTAAATGCAGTAGCTTTTCTATTAAGTACTCTCATATTGAGATGAAAATGCCTCTGGCTTAGCTATTTTGAGTAATGGATCTTAAGGCCAGGACCTTTTTACCAAGGAGTATGGCTAAACCAGCTGCCCCATCTAAGTAAAGTTCTTTGGTAATTTTTCTAGTCCATCTGAGCTGAATTGGAGCAAGTTCTCTTGCCTCCCTAATCTAAATTCTGCAAAGCTTGTGGAGCCACTATTGTATCCCTGGTGCCAGGTGATCAGGATGCAGACAACTAGAACCCTGGCCCAAGGAGGCAGAGAGAAGGGCAACTTACAGAGGGAGATGGACCATGAAAGAGGAGCCCTTTACCATGTCCCAAAGCTCCACCTGGAGCCTCAGTTCATACCCTAATCTATCACCCCACCCTATTCTCCTTAATAGCTTCCAGGTTTGCATGGACACACATGGAGAGGCAGTAGAGCAAAACCTAACGCACATGGGCTCTGGAGTCTACCTGGGTTTAAACCCAGTCTCTACTCTGTTCCAGCTGTTTGATCTTGGGCAAATAATCAAGCTTCTCTGTGTCTCACTTTCCTCATTGCTAAAGTCTGATTAATAATACTTCACAGAACTGTTCCTTGATAAGATTGGAACAGGTTACTGTTCACATAAAGAGCTTGCTGTGCCTGTTCTCTATTTGCCATCTTTGAAGAGTGTTAATTATGCTATCATTTGTACTTTGGGCTGTGCTAAACCCCAGTGGGAGGGATCCTGAGCTCAGGAGCCTTCTCTCTAAGCCCCTGACAGACAGACAAATTGCAAAAGGAAAAAGCAAGATCAGTAGCACAGAGTAGAGTGGGAGCACAGGAATGGTCTTCATGAGAATGTTACCTGTATAATTTATTCATTCTCTCTTGCAGTAGTAGTTATGGAGTGCCTATTGTATACCAGTCATTGTATAGAAATTCTGGGCATATGATAATCAGCCAGACAGGCCTCTGGCCAGAAGGAACTCATAGTTTAGTTGGGAGCTAGATGAGTAAACACACAGTTATGGTCCAGTGTGATTAGTATGAGAGTGGGATCAACATAAGATCTATTCTAACTTGGAAGTGTACGTCAGGGATGGCTTCCTGGAGGAGGTGATGGTAAGCCAGATCCCCAAAGGAGCAGAGGTTAGGCAGGGTGAGTGAGGACATGAGCATGAAAGGTGTCCCCGGCAGAGGGAATATTCTGTGCAAAGGCCTGCAGGTAACTGAGTGTATGGTGTGTTTCATTGTGGAGTCTTGGCTGTGGAGCAAGCTGAATGTGCTGCTGTCATTGCAGGGACATGGAGAAGGTGGAGCGGCAAGCTGTCCCCCAGGCCAACCACACAGAGTCCTGTCATGAGTGTGGCCGGGTGGGACCTGGACATACGAGAGATTGTCCTCATCGTGGCCATGATGACTTTGTCAACTTTGAGAGGCAAGAGCAGGAGGAAGAGCGGTACCGTTCCCAGAGGGACCCGCTGGAGGGCAAGCGGGATCGGAGCAAGGCCAGGTCTCCATACTCGCCGGCCGAGGAGGATGCCTTGTTTGTGGATTTACCCAGTGGCCCAAGAGGCCAGCAGGCACAGCCCCAGCGGGCAGAAAAGAATGGCATGCTGCCTGCATCATATGGCCCAGGAGAGCAGAATGGGACTGGTGGGTACCAGCGGGCCTTTCCTCCCAAGACCAACCCTGAAAAGCACAGCCAAAGGAAGAGCAACCTGGCCCAGGTGGAACACTGGGCAAGGGCCCAGAAGGCGGACAGCAAGAGGTGAGTAATAGACCCGGAATTGCCGCTTATAGTGAGTACGATAATATAGTGGCAAGAGCCGTCATTTAGCCAGCACTTGCTTCATAAGGGCAGGCTTAAACTCTTTACCTCCATTACCTACAGAAATCCCCATAACAACCCTGCAAGAAGGGGTGATATTCCTAACTTAGAAACTGAGGCTTGGAGAAGTGAAGGAACCTCCCTAGGGCACACAGATAAGTGGTAAAGCCAGAGTTCAGTCCTGGGTCTGTGAGCCTCCAAGGCAGTCACGTGATTACACCAGAGGCTTTTCTACTCAGGAAGAATGCCTTGAGACAGTCAGCATGTAAATGATATCCAGTCTTCTTCCTTTGTGCTGATACTTCTCTACATCCGAGAAATGTGTATAGAAATGAGAGTAAATGCAGATTCATTTTTAATTCCAGGCACATACAGAAGTGTGTAGGCACTGTTGACACTGGGCTTTATCATACCCATTCCTTGAAGAAGTTTTTAATAATTTAGAAGGTATGCATCTCTTGCTATTTGCCAAGCACTGTCTGTATTTTATTATAATTTCAGATTAATTAGGACACATCTCTGAATGTGAAGAATTCAGGGTCACTAGCTTCCTGTTGTCCCCAGAAGCCACTGTGCTTTGTCTTCATTGTGAAAGATGTGACAGATTCCCCTCACAATTCTCAGGCTTCTAAACAAATCACGAACAAGAGAGGAGAGAGCAAAGCCAGTATGCATTCAGAGAGCTCCCCAGGGATTGCAGTGGAAGTGCCAGCATCCAGACCGAGTCGGCCACAGGCCTGATAACATGCTCGAAAAGGCCACACTGCATTCTCCCTGTTGGCCAGGCCCCGATTTTCTACCTCTGGACTCTGGAGGTGGTAGTGCTCCTAGGGTAATAGCCTAGTACTGTTTTCAAGTATGTGGGTGTGTTGTGCATATGTAGGTTGCTGTAACCTCTTTAATCTGGTCCGGCTGGGCAGCTGTGAGAATGGATGGTGGATAAATCACAATGGAGCCTTCCTCAGTCACTGATAGGTATTGTTGTGGAGCAGTCTAGAAGAGAAGGCCTGTTGTGCTATAGCTAAGATACCTTCCCATTCCTGACTGGGAATGACTAGGTGTCAAACCTGTTTGTTCACATTTTGTATCTTAAGAAAACAGAAATTGACTGAAGACACAGGGAAGGGAAGCTGCTCTTCTTGGTGCTGGCCTAGGTAGGTCCTTGGTAGATGGTTGTAAGATGACCTTACTGCTGAATGAGGTTGGAAGGTTGGCAGGGGTAATGTCACGTAGGTCCTCATACTCCAAGGTACGACATTTGAATTTTATTTGAAAAAGCAATGGGGGAACCACTGGAATGTTTTAAGCAGTAAGAGATGTGATCTGATGAATATTTCATAAGATAAGAGCCTAGGAAGGAGGCTATTGTAATAGTCCAGGAGGGTGACAATGGAAGTAGGACAAACTAAAGCAATTTGAGGCACATTTCAGAGGTTGAAACGATGAAGCTTGTCAGTGAATTTGAATGCAGAAGGAGAGAAACTACGATGATGTCTAAACTTTTAAAAACTAAATTTCGTGGGTACGTAGCAGATGCATATATTTATGGGTTTATGAGATCTTTTGATACAGGCATGCAATACATAATCACATCAGGGTAAATGGATGTTTATCACCTTGGGCATTTATGATTTCTTTGTGTTACAAGCATTTCAATATTACCCTTTTAGTTACTATTTTTAAATTAAAATAAAGATAGACTCTCACTATGTTGACCAGGCTGGATTCGAACTCCTGGCCTCAAGCAGTCCTCCCATCTTGGCCTCCCAAAATGCTGAGATTATAGGTGTGACCCACTGTACCTGACCCCTTTTAGTTATTCTTAAATGTATCATAAATTTTTGTTGACTATAATTATCCTGTTATGCTATCAAATAGTAGCTCTTATTGATTTATCTCACTATATTTTCATACCCATTAAGCATCCCTACTCCCTCCTGCCCACTACCCTTCCCAGACTCTGGTAACCATCATTCTACTCTCTCTCTCCATGAGTTCAATTGTTTTAATTTTTAGCTCCCACAAAGGAGTAAGAGTATGCCAAATTTGTCTTTCTGTGCCTGGCTTATTTCACTTAACATAAGGCCCTCCAGTTCCATTTATGTTGTTGCAAATGACAGAATCTCATTCTTTTTATGGCTGATAAGTACTCCATTGAGTGTAAGTATCACGTTTTGTTTATCCATTCATCTGTCGATGGACACGTAGCTTACTTCCAAATCTTGGCTATTGTGAATAGAGCTACAATAAACAGATCTATAAAATTTTGACTTGAGCAACTGGATGGTTACTGAGATAGGGAACGCTAAGGAAGGAACCAGTTGGGGGAAATCAGGATTTCCATTTTGGACATGTAAGCAGGGAGTTGGAATTCTGGACATGGGTGGAGTTGGAGTTAGCATTCAGGTTTGGTTAATAAGTAGATACTGTGCTGTGCAGCAGATATAAGCATAGATAAGAGATGTGAGCTTGGTGAGGAATGTGGTACTTTGGACTGTCCAGGTAGAGAATACCGGGAGGTTATAGGGAATATGGATACAGGCTGTAGAGGGAGTCATTGCCTTAGAGATGGTAACTAATGCCCAGCCAGTAATTGAGATTATCCAGGATGGAATGCTTAGAGCCATGCTTCTTAATCTTGTCTGCATGATTTCATCATTTCAGACCCAACACCAGAGATTTTGATTTAGTTGATCTTGTGTGAGGTCAAGGCATCAGTATGTCTTTAAAGCTCCTTAGGTTGGCCAGGTGCGGTGATTGACGCCTATAATCCCAGCACTTTGGGAGGCTGAGGTGGTAGGATCGCTTGAGTCCAGAAGTTTGAAACCAACCTGGGCAACATAGCAAGACACCATCTCTACTGAAAAAACATTTTTTTATTTACCTGGATGTGATGACATGCACCTGTGTTCCCAGCTACTTGTGGGGTTGAGGCGGGATGATCACTTGAGCCCACAAGTTCAAGGCTATGATGAGTTACGATTGTACCACTGCACTTCAGCCTGGGTGACAGAGCAAGAACCTGTCAAATCAATCAATCAATCAATCAATCAATCAATCAATCATATACACACATACAACTCCCTAGGTGATTCTAGTGCATGCCCACAGTCGAGAACCTGTTGCTAGGCTATGTATTGGAAACACCTGGAAAGTTTTAACATTTGCTGAGGCCTTAGTCCCATGCCCGGAAATCTGACTCCATTGGTCTGGGTTGCAGCCTGGACATAAGGTTTTTAGGAAGCACATTTTTCCCTGTCTCTCCTCCCCAGTGATCTAATGTGCAGCCAAGACTAAGAATCCTCAACTGAGAGGACATAGTCGCAGAGGGCTACAACAGAACACTGAGGACCCCCAGCCTAAGGGTCAGGAAAAGCTAAGTCTCCTGAAGGAGATGAGGAAAAGATGGGGGAGGAAAACTAGAGGTTCTGTGGGGGAGTTTCAGTTGGAAGGAGTCCAGTCAGCAGATAAGCACTTCTACCTGGGTGTGGTACCTTTCTTTCCTTTTTTTTCTCTACCAAAAGCAGATACTTGAGATGTATTTGCAAGGAGACTGGGCACCTGTGAAGCAAAGTCTGGAACCTCACAGATCTTTTGCTCAGTAGCAGAAACCCTTTTTCCACTGAGCTATTTGATGGGCTTAGACAGGCAAACTGAATTGCCATCCTTAATAGAGCTACAGTGTCAAAGTTAGCTCAGGAGGCAGAGTAAAAGGAGGGGTTGAAATCAGTAAGATGGCATGGCCAGTGAGAAACCCTCTGTGGCAAAGACACAGAAAAAACTTTTAAAAGCTGGGTGACCTATGCAGTGGTAAGTTGTCAGTTATGAAATGTCTCTACATAACTACTCCAGCAGCCTGTAAACCACGTTATTCTGCTACACAATGGCCTGAATTTGGGAGTTGGGGGTGGGGTGTGCATTAGAGACCTAAAGGATGAGAAGTTAACAGGGAGATGAGAGGTGGGTGAAGAGGGCATTTGACTTTCCTTGAGATACAAGATGGGGATTTGAGCCATTCTTATCTAAAGGACAGAGAGACATCAGGTCTGTAGAGGAGAACAGCTCATTGGCTTTGGAGGTCACTGAACACAGAATGAGAAGAATTTCGTTATAGTAGGAGAAGCAGATCTCCATGGGCTAGAAAGTGAATAAAAGTGAAGAATTAAAGGCAGAAGACAGAACAGAAAATGCTGTCAATCTTTAAGTGTACAAAGTGTCTGCTCAGTCTCCGATCATTCTCTTGTATTTTAAAAAGGTCTGCCTCTTACGGTCCCGGATTTTTTTTTCTTAAAGGTATATTTGTAATCTCTTACAGTAAGTCATAAATAAATCTGGCTGCTGATTGAAGGAACCTCCTCCATTTTCCATTTGAAATATACAAGCTAGATATCTCTGCTTTGCATATCATCAAGACTGCTAATCTCATTAGACTGAACACATTAAGAAATCGGGAGGAGTGTTATTTGAACTGCAATATATGATCCTGTATTTTTGGCTTTAGACCAACAGGGAATTATTTCTAATTGAACATACACATACATATTTCACATCATTAAGCTTTTTTAGAATATGGTTTGTGGGAGACAGACTGACATACTCTTAGAATCTTACTAAGAGCTTATTTTGAAATTTTATGCTTTCATTTTCCCACCCCAACCTCCCAGTGTTTAAAGTAATGCATACTTACAAAATAGAAAGGTTGGGGTGGAGGATAGAGGTAGGATGAGGAGACTCAAACACTGCAATAAGGAACAGAGTAGAAAATGGAAATCCTGTGTGATTGATCTTAAAGTTAGGGTGAGGAATATCTGCTGCATAAAGTGTAATAATTGATTATAAAAAATGATACTGCATTTGCATATGACCATTTCTGTGGTCACTGTATTAGAATATCCTGCTTAGTGCCTGTTTAGTGAAGGGAGGCCCTGTGGCTGCAGAGCATGGTGTGAGGAGACCTTGAGCCCAGTTTTTGGGTAAGACTGGGGGTTGGGGGTCAGCGAATGGATCTGCTGTTAGGGGCGAAGCTGCTCTGGAAGCTGCCACTTGTTACCATGGGGTCTATACCTCAACCACAGTACCACTTCCTGTGTCCCTCCTCCACAGTCAGTTTCCTTGGTTTGGCCCCTGGAGCCAGGGCTCACCATTGTACTGGTATCTTGGAGTCACTCCGAAATGGGAGACAATGTATAAATGGAGGGTACAGGTTAAAGGATGAGATCAGGGATTTGGGTGCTGCTAGGAGGGCAGTGGGGAGGTGAGGGTGGACTCTGACCTTCCAGGCACTGTAGGCAGGCAAGGGAGTGAGCAGCAGAGCCAGCTGGAAGGGTGTATGGGTGGGAGCACGGCTCTGAAATGCTCTGCATAGTTTGCATTTTGCTTCTGGCAGAATGAACAATGGTTAGTAAAGTCCTGAACTCCCCAGGGGAAGCCTCCAGCCTGATTTCCCACCACTGCTACCACCTCTGTTTTGAAGATTCAGGCACTGCCCTGCCTCAGAGGCACATTCGTGTCTAACGTTAGGAAATCCATAGCAAACCCTGCCACCTAGTGGCAGGCAGACTAACTTGGCAGGCGTGACTAGGAGCTTGAAGAGATCTTAAAATTATCTCCTGCTATAGCAGATAGCTTTATTTGAATGACAACTATTTCAAATTCTCACAACAATTGACTAAGTGGTTCTTACTCTCCCTATTTTATAATAAAGAAAGTGAGACTTAGAGGACTTGGCTGATACTTGCCTGAGGTTATGTAGCTTATCTGTGATTAAATGAATTGAGTTTTAAAACAATTAGAACAGTTTCTCAAACTTCACAGAACACTAGAAGCTCCTGGTGGGCTTGTTAAGACAGTGATGACTGGGCCCCATCTCCAGTTTCTGATTAGGTAGGTCAGAGCTTCTTACTGTCCTCATTTTATAATAAGGAAAGTAAGACTTACAGGACTTGGCTGATACTTGCCTGTGGTCAAGTAGCAAAAGTGTGATGAAGTGAGTTGAGTTTTAAAAACAATTAGAACAGTTTCTCAAACTTTACAGAGCACTAGAATCTCTTGGAGGGCATGTTAAGACACTGATGGCTGGGCCCCATTCCCAGTTTCTGATTAGGTAGGTCTGAGATGGGGTTGATAACAAGCATTTAAAAAATATATCTTATTTTAAATTGACAAATAATAATTACATGTATGGGGTACATTTTTTATATATGTAAACATTGTGAAATGATTACATCAAACCAATTGACAATCACTTACCTGCTTATCCTTTTTGGTGGTTAGAACATTTAACAACTACTTTAGTAATTTTGAACTATAAAACCTCCTTTATTATTAGCCACTGTCACCATGCCGTGCAGTCGGTCACCAGAACTTACTCCTCCTAACTGAAACTTTGCACCCTTTGACCAGCAGCTCTTCTTCCTTCTCTCCTCCTCTCCTCCCCAAACCTCTGGTAACCACTTCTCTACTCTGTTTCTATGAGTTTGACCTTTGTAGATCCCACGTATGAGTGAGGTCATACACGGTGTTTGTCTTTCCATGCCTGGGTTGGTTTATTAACCTGCACTGTTGACAAGTTCCCAAGCGGTGCTGATGCTGCTGGCATCAGTGTAGTGTTGGCCCGGAACAATGTCATCACCAAATAAATGTCTGTTAGATAAAATTGATGGGTAAAGGCAGAGTCCGAATTGAACTCAGGCCTGTCCAACTCTAAAACTTGTTCTCTTTTTACAACATCATGCTGCCTCTCAGGCTTAGTAAAACTCCATACTTTGCCCCCTGCTGAATTTTGTTTCCTTCTTAGAAAATAAGATGGAGGTTAGGAGTGGTGACTCACACTTGTAATCCTGGCACTTTGGGAGGCTGCTGAGGGCAGATCACTTGAGGCCAGGAGTTTAAGACTAGCCTGGACAACATGGTGTTTAATAGACAGCCTGGCCATCTCTATTAAAAATACAAAAATTAGCCAGGTGTGGTGGCGCACACTTGTAGTTCCAGCTACTTGGGAGGCTGAGACAGGAGAATTACTTGAACCTGGGAGGTAGAGGTTGCAGCAAGCCAAGAGTGCAGCACTGCACTCAGCCTGGGCAAAAGAGCGAGACTCCAGAAGAAAATAAGAGGATGGCGGGGCACAGTGGCTCACGCCTGTAATCCCAGCACTTTGGGAAGCTAAGGTGGTCAGATCATGAGGTGAGGATATCAAGAGCATCCTGGCTAACACAGTGAAACTCCATCTCTACTAAAGATACAAAAAATTAGCCTGCCATGTACACCTGTAGTCCCAGCTACTCAAGAGGCTGAGGCAGGAGAATCCCTTGAACCCAGGAGGCGGAAATTGCAGTGAGCTGAGACTGCACCACTACACTAGTCGACAGAGCGAGACTCTGTTTCAAAAAAAAAAAAAAAAAAAAAGATGGCTAGTCAGTGGTTGTTTTTGAAATTACATCCAGCTTTGTGTCCTGGATCCTGGAGTGTTTCTTGAAGGGCTGATTATGCGCCAGGACTTTCTTAGGCTGTGGACGATACCACAGTGTGAAACAGTTCCTGTCTTTCAAGAATTTTCACCTTGGCCTGGGAAGAGATGTCTTGCAAGTTTGAAAAGATCACCTCAATACAGGACCTTGGAAAAGTTACAGGCAGTGTGATAACTAGGTCAAGCAGAGCTGGATCACTGAGGGCTGTGGCACTGCAGAAGGTTCATGTGGGGAAGGCATGGGCTGGCATCCTGGAGAATGAGTAAGATTTCAGTAAATGGAGCAAGGGGAGACCATCCAGGTAGGGAAAGGGAAGAACAATGTTATAAGAATAAAGGGGGCAGGAAGGACACACATGTTAGTGAAGGAACTTCTGTGTATCAGACATGGAGGTTGCATTTCCTAACCTGCCTCATTGATTCCTCAGAATAGCCTTATGAAGCAGGTAATACTGTCTTCACATTACAAATAAGGAAATGGAAGTTCAGAGCAGTCAGGTAAGCTGCCTACAGTCACAAAGCCAGAAAGTATAAAGCTCCGATTCAAACCCAGGTTCGGCTCCTACCTTTCCTTTTTCCACTGCAAGATGTTGCTCAGGTGTGGAGGAGGCTGGGCCAGGACTAGGGTGAGGCTGACCATCAGGCACCAGCAGGTATAGGGGTGCCCCTGAGATGGAGTGCCTCCTTCAGTTTTGGGGCCTAGGCGTGGCCCTGGTAGGAAGAGCAGTGAGAAAAGCAGGTCGAGATTAGTTGCTAGCAAGCTGTGAGTACCAGAATGAGGAGTTTAGACTTTATTTCACAAGTGACAAGGAGCCATGAAGTTTTTGGAGCAAGGAACTGATTTGATCAGAGCACTTACTTTGGACAAAGTGGAAATTCATTAGGAGCATCTCAAAGTTGTCTGGAGGGAGATAATTAATCAGAATCTGGACTAGAAGAGTCCAGAAAAAAGAAAGAACTGATGCCAGCCACTTCCTTTATGAACCTCCAGAATTTGGTGCTAGGATACCAGGCAGAGGAACAGTCTTGGTAACCTGGAGAATTGTGAGGCCTTTCCTATAAATATGCACAGCCGTTGAAAGAGCTGACTGCTGGCAGCGGAGAGAGAAGAAAAAGCCAGGCTTAATTACATTGCATTCATAAGTGATGGGCACAGGTAGCCAAGTTGTCCTGGCAGAGGAAGTTGACAGAGAAAAATGGTTTTGGAGTCTTCTGCAAAAAGGGGAAGTGACTGAAGTCCTGGATGTTGGCCTTGATAATTCTTTTGGGGTTCTTATAGGACTCTTCCACATGCCCAGCTTTGTGGGTTTACTTAGATATGTTCCTCAAAGCCTGACAGACCCCTTGCTTGGTTGCCTGACCCGTCCTTACCCTTTCTTCCTCAGCCTTCCCTTGGACCAGATGCTTCCTTGCCAGGGTCCTGGCCAATCCCTGTCCTTCCCAGAAAGCTACCAGACTCTTCCCAAGAGCACCCGACACCCATCAGGGGGCTCCTCACCACCTCCCCGAAACCTGCCAAGTGACTACAAGTATGCGCAGGACCGAGCCAGCCACCTGAAGATGTCGAGTGAAGAGCGCCGGGCACACCGGGATGGCACCGTGTGGCAGCTCTATGAGTGGCAGCAGCGCCAGCAATTCCGGCATGGCAGCCCCACGGCACCCATATGCCTCGGCTCCCCAGAGTTCACCGACCAGGGCCGGAGCAGGAGCATGCTAGAGGTGCCCCGCTCCATCTCTGTGCCTCCATCTCCCTCGGACATCCCTCCCCCAGGACCCCCGAGGGTCTTCCCACCCCGGCGGCCACACACGCCAGCAGAGAGGGTCACGGTGAAGCCACCGGACCAGAGGAGGAGTGTGGATATCTCACTGGGGGATTCTCCCAGGAAGGCACGGGGCCACGCTGTCAAGGTGAGGCTCGGGAAGCTCTACCAGGCTGCTGGGTCAGCATGAGGGCGCCAGGAGCCTTTCCTGGTTTGAACACAAATTTGAGTAATTTGGGATAATGATAGCTAATGATTAGGCAGTACTTTTTAATAATAGATGCCAGGCACAGTTCCCAAAGGTTTCATTTTAAATTCTCACCACAACCCTGCAAGGTAGGTGCTATGCTTATGCCCATTTTAAAGATGAGAACTCTGAGGCATTGAGAGACAGAGTAATTTCCTCGGGGTCATACAACTACAAGTCAGCTTCCTTGCAGCTTGGAAGGCAGGAGAAGACATCTGTGTTCAGTCAGTTCAATCATTTATAACAACCCAGCTTAAGTTTATACTTTCCAAGGGGCATTCACAGTTTAGTATTCTAACCCAGAGAGTAAGATGTGTATGCTCATTTCACAGATGAGGAGTTGGGGGCTCAGAGGGGAAGTGGCATGGGGAGGGCTGCCCTGGGAGTGACTGGCAGAGGTTCGGACTCCAGTGTGACTTCTTGTCTCCCCACTTGCAGAACTCATCTCACGTGGACCGACGCTCCATGCCCTCCATGGGTTACATGACCCACACTGTCAGCGCTCCCAGTTTACATGGAAAATCGGTAAGGTGAATGACAGGACACAGCCTGCAAAGCTGTATCTCATCAACGTTTTCCTTTCTCTGAGTCAATACACTGCAGTCCAGAGGGCAGTTATCAACCTCCATCTTAGAGATGAGGAAACTGAGGCTCAGAGGAGTCGAATGACTTGCTTAGGGACACCTGGCTGTCACTGGGTCCTCCCCAGAGACGGGAAAGAGCTTGTGGGGGGAAGTATAGGGGAATGTTAGGTTTATCTCCTCTTTCAAGTTGAATTTTGCCAAAACATTTTCCAGCTACCCACCTTTTTCCCCCCACAGGTAGTGCCTCTCGTTTCTTCCCTGATCTTTGATCAGTTAACTAGTTAACTCTATCTTCAAAGCTCGAGTCTAAGACCAGGCATGGTGGTTCTTATCTGTAATCCTAGTACTTTGGGAGGCCAAGGTGGGTGGATCACTTGAGGCCCGGAGTTTGAGACCAGCCTGGCCAACATGGCAAAACCCAGTCTCTACTAAAAATACAAAAATTAGCTGAGCATGGTGGTGTACACCTGTGATCCTAGTTATTTAAGAGGTTGAGACACCAGAACCTAGGAGGTGGAGGTTGCAGTGAGCCAAGATCACACTGCTGCACTCCAGCCTGGGTGACAGAGCAGGACTATCTTAAAGAAGAAGTGCAAGAAGAAGAAAAAGCTTGAGTCTGGGTGAGGTTTGAGGTTGCACTGTTGGTTGTTGCTTTCCTGAAAAAACAACTTCCTGCAGCCCCTTTGCTGCCAGTGCCTTTATTTGCCCTAATGACAGGATTAAAGATGAGAACTCTGAGGCGTTGAGAGACAGAAATTGCTTAATGGTGTCACATCAGGGCTCTCCTGGCATTGGCACCGGGATGAAGAGCATAATTCTAGTGGCGTGCTCCTGTGGTGCTAACTTGCTTGTGCTGTGTCTACACACCTGCAGCTGGAGGAGCTCTCATTGCTTCTCACCCGGTTAAGGCGGCACCAGGCCAAGTTGGCCAGTGTGCGAAATTTCGCCATCGGCCAGTTACTGCAGCACCAGCTGACCTTTCCCACCTGCCAGGTCAGCGCTGGTGGGCTCTCTCAGGGCTGGGGGCAGGGAGTGACATGCTGGCTCGTGTTCGCTCGTGCCCTTGCTCTGGTCTGTCTCTGCTGTCTGGCTCTTCCTTGTTCGCTGGCTGTTTGCTTCTGGATGCTACTGCCAGATACTGTATATTGGTGGAGTCCAAGCCTACCCTCTGATGCTGGGGTGGGGGTGCTGCATGTGGCATAGGGACCTAAACTGTCGCTTCTCTGGTATAAGTAGTGACTGCCAGGCTGATGTGTGGTCAAGTTCAAAGGGCTGTGCTGGTTGACAACCTTGTTGCCCCATGGCTACTCCTTGGGATGTGGAAAGGCATGTGTATGTCAGCCTGGAGGGAGGATGCAGGGCACCCTCTCTTTTCTGGACAGTGCCCTGCTGCCTCACAGAGCATCTTCTCATCTCATATCCTGCTGAGCCTCACAGTAAGCTGGAAGAGATTAGGGAGGACAGGAGTCAGGACCACACACAGGCAAGAGGAGCCAGAAGGGGAAGTGACTTGCTCAGGATCCCTCAGCAAGAAGCATGCGGGCTGCAGCCAAAATCCAAGCCTTCAAGACACAATGTTCTAAACTGTTGCAAGCACATTGGGCTTTGCAGGCAAGCTTCTCAAGGACTGGCTAGGGGGTTGCCCTCCCAGGTATCTTAAGCAGGAGAATTGAAAAAAGAGGATTCATCCCTGGGGTTGTCCTCAGGCAGGAATAGGTTCGGCCATATGAGGCTGGTCCTCCAGGCTGTACAGAAGTAGGCAAAGGACAGATGAGGAGGGTGGCAGAAATGTTACCTTCCTTCCTTGTTCTGTTTTAGTGAGTTATGAGGGATTTAGGAAATATATTCAGAAAAATGAATGTCAGTACAAACACTATTAGTTGTGAATCTAAGTGATCTTTAATAACCTTATTCTACTCTGTCATTATTTCTATGGCAAGTCTGTAGGGACTGAGCTGTTTGGGAAGTATGGATGGGTAAGGGGTTAGTATGGGCACACAAATAAGACCTTTTAAGCCAATAGTGCCCCTAACAGTTGTCCTTCCGGCATTCCCATGCATAAGAGCACTGTGTGAACTCTTCGTGTGGTTCATCTGTGTGACTGTCTTACCTCAGAGCTGTAAGCAAGGGCCACCTGCCCCAGCCCTGGCTTGCTTGGCTGGGACCCTCTTAGCCTGTTGAGAAGGTGGTGCCTGGATTATTTTTCTTGAGCTTTCACAACTCCTCTGCCTCACAGTTAGCTTCTGTGATCTGCTACACAGGGAAGCATGAGTTTTAGGAAATCAAAGAGTCTTTTTCTTATTTTCACCATTTCTGGTAATTATACTGAAGAACTTGACAAATAGGTCTGATCTTGTACCTGCCTCAAGTAGCTCCTGACATAGCCACATTGGCTCTATTCTGAGCAAAAAGAAACAAAACTAGCAGGAATCTTCCAGCAGCTGCTGATGGTTATCATTCTGGAAATCAAGGTTATATTGGGACCTCCTGGGTGACCCAGATCATCTCCCTGCCTCTTCCAGGCATTCATTCACACCATTGAGCTTCATCTTACTTCGTGCATGTGAAGTGACCCAGACCAAAGGTTTGATGGATGGAATTGGAGCACTGATGACTGGTGCACTCTAGCACAGGTGTGGCATGTGCTCCTCCAGGTAGACCTCCCATGTCTATCTTGGGAGCACAGCACTGCCTTAGCTGCCCTAGCCCTGGAGTAGGATCCTCCCTGCCAAATTCTTCCCCCGAGCCAGTGGGGGACTAGCTGAAAATGATCCAGTGGTGCACCCACAAGTTTCGCCATGCTGAAAGAGGGCTGTCAGCTGCACTGAGACATTTGTGCTTCCTCTGTGGCCCCCGATGTGTTGATCTGCTGTGGTTCCTTGTTCCCAAAGCTGCACAATGTAAATTAATTCACATGCGAAACCTTGAGTTATGGAAACTCTTGGTGTTCATAATTGTTTTCTTTTTTCCCCCCTCTCTGCTTCATTTGAAGGCTGATGATACCTACCTCCAGCTGAAGAAAGACCTGGAGTACCTGGATCTAAAGGTGAGTGATGTCAGAGGTCCTGCCTTCCTCACATACTCACCTTTCTGAGAGTGTCACCTCACCGGAGCCAAGCCCAAAGCCAAAGGACACATGGGTCTTATCCGATCTGAATTCTAAATCAAGATGTCTCCTGTCTTGAATCAGAAGAATTTTATTTCTTACAGACTCAAATCTGCCTCTCTTCAGTTTCTTGTGAATTTTGTTGTGAGGTCCCTGGCTTACAGAATGTGAGTGTAAGACCTTGATCTCTTCCTTCCCTTGGTCAAAACCAAAAGGTCTCTGCAAAAGCAACAGTCACTGCTTCAGAGTCTCCAGTGGGGGCAGGGGTATGTGTCTGGTTCACTAATGTACATTTTTAGCCACAAGTGGTATGGTGGGTTCTTTGGTTCTGTTGCTAGGAGAGCAGGCTTCACGTGGAATCACATGGCTTTAAGGCTCACCAGTAGTCTCCCATCTCGGTTTAGGAGATGAAGGCTGGGCCCCTCCCTGTAGGTGATAAGGCTTCAGGCTCTAAATTTGCTTTCCCAGCACAGAGAGAACTGAGAAAGCTCCTGTAGAGAAGGCAAGAGGCATTCTGCCTAGAAGAGAGCGCTATTGTTCCCTTCCCACAGCTCTCTGAAAGCTCCCACTGTGAAAAGCACTTCTTACGCCTGAGCCATGAAATAGACTGGAGGAATGTGACCTTTAGTCAACTGTGGGTCTGAAAAGGTGGGTGAGGGGCCATGGGACACTCAGGCAACTGCCACGGAGTGAGGGCGGTGTGTCTCCCCACAGTCCCCAGTGTACCTGGCTTGGGATATTTTTAACTTGGGGATCTTCATCCAGCCTCATAGAAGCTGCTGTATGAACATCAGGTCCTAAGGAAGCAGATGGAAAGGGGGTCTCCCCACAATGAGGGAAAATGCCTTTGATTAGAAATCAATCAGTGCAGTTCTGGGTCTGTTGAGCACTTGCTGTGTACCCAGAAGACGTGGGGAGATGCAGAAGAAAAATTGAGTCTGTCTGATCTTGAGAAACTTCTGGATAGTCTGGGTTGGTGAAAGAAATTATCCCCAAATAACAGACTGCTCCTCAATGACTGTACAAAAATCTGTTTGGCCTGCTTCTCAGAGTGGAGATGGTAAGAATCACTGTAGATTCCAATACTGGGGAGGCTCCTAGGAGGAGGTGACATGTGTTTGGAGCCTTGAAAAGCCGGAAGGCTGGGGTTGGTGGAGATTAAAAGGGAAGGAACAGTGAGCCAAGGAGAGCCAGGGCACGGTGGTTGTGGCCAGGGCAGCAGAGGGGAGGTGGTAGCCGATCATGTAGGCTTTTGACTCTCTCCGAGGCATTAGGAAGGAAGGTGGGTGCTGTGAGCAAAAAGACCTGGCTTTAGCATGTGAGGAGAACAAGGAGCTTTCTCTCAAGGCCAGGAGGTTTTCCAACTCACATGACAGGTCACACAGAGCTGGAGTGACTGCTCTAGGTATGGTAGCAATTCATCTGGATTCAAAATGCTCAAGCATAGCTGTGTGGACCAAATGTGGCAGCCCAGCCTATCTTCCTGCAGCCTGTGGGGTCAGGCAGGGTCCTTCCCACCATGCCTATGGAGAGAGATTCACCAGTCCCCAGCCTCCACCTGCCCTGTGCAGCACCACATCCCGGTTCATCAGCCTCCCTGACAGCAGCTGCCTGCACGATTCTTCTCACTCCTGACCCAGGGCCCAAAGATCCACTCAGACATACCTCTAGAGCATCCGTAGTGCACCTGGGCTTGTGGGAGAGGCCTGGCGTGCCAGCAGCACAGGTGACTATAAAACACAGGTATGCCAGAGTGTTGAGTGTATGGGACCAGAGAGAACTAAATGTGCCTGAGCAAGAGCAGTAGGAAATAGCTGCCTTCTGGTACCTGTTTGTATGTGATAGTGGAAACTCACAGCTGATCCTGGAATGATGCTCTGCCTCAGGTTTGTGTTATTTCAGGATCGTAGAATTTGAGCTATGAGGGATTAAAGAGGGAGAAACTGAGCCACAGAATGGCATAGCAGAACTAGGAGTCCCTGCGTGTCCTGATTCAAAAAGAAGCTTAATAACAATAGGGGGTATAATGTGTGCCAGTCACTGCATTTTACCTCTATTAAATTATTTTACCTCCAAAGATAATAGTATCATCTGTTAATGGACTGTGACTCAGAAAGGCTAACGAGTTTCCCGGTCCTACACCGCAGGTAGCAGGTATCAGTATTTGGGTGAGGCTCTAACCCTAAGCCGTTCATCACCTTGCCCTACATCCTCTCTTAAAATGGTGCTCCACCACCGTGGACCCAAAGGCATTATGTTTTTATGGAGCTGAGCTTGGATTGTTATGCCAAGAAATATATTTGATGGGATAGAGGGAGGCAAGTTGCATTCTTGGTGTGTTTCACTACCTAAGAGCTGTACCTGATCACAGCATTATCTAGTTATTGGACTTTCTGGAGATTGTCATTGTTTGTCATAGAAAACAACTGTGTTGATACCTATATTCCCCTGGTCTTGTAGCTGCTACCACAGTTGCCAAGCTCCTCTCTGAGAACCAGTCCCCCAGCTGAGCTGCACCAGCACCCTGGAGAGGTTTGGCTCACCAGCAGCACACGCGAGAAGCATGCTGGGTTTTGTGCCCAATATGTGTCATTGGTCTGACGTGGCTGCCAGAAAGTCTGGCATCCCCCCTTCTCCTGCCACTGCCGGCTTCCCTCAGAGGGGCAGGGTCCCAGATCAGGAGGCAGTAGGCCTGTTCTACCCTGCTTAGAGCCAGCTTGGGTTTAGGGTTCCAAGACGAGAGTCCCACTTCGGGATCCAGTTGAAGGAAGGGCTGGGATCAGGGGAGAGGTATTGAGGGCTTGCAGAACCATGGCTGGGTGTGCTTGGCAGGATGCTTTTGTTTGGAAGTATCCAAGAGCCAAAGCAACCTACTAAGTCAAAAAGGGAATATACTAATTCATGTAGCAGGGGCCACATTCCAGGGGCTTGGCCACATTGTCACTGTTCTACTTTCCTTGCGTGTCAGCCTTCTTCTTTCCTGTGGAACAAGGGGCTGCCTCCACATGGGCAGAGAAGGTGGCTGCCTGGAAGCCCAGATTCATTTCTTCCCTACTCAGTATTCCATGGAGTGAGGGAGGAGTTTCCTAATGGGACATGCTGGGCAGAGAAAGGAAGCACAACAGTAGCTGATACAGCTACAGTGCAGAACAATTGAAGGAGTTGGGACAATTCAGGAGAGGCATAGAGACAGCCTGTAAAACTCTGGTGTGTCTTCACGTGTTTCCTGTGGCCTTAAGGATGAATTAAGACATGTGGATGGCAGCTACAAGTAGACAGGTTTCAGTTTAGCAGAAGAAAGACTTCTAAAAGGGCCACCTCAGATGGTGGTGAACTTCCTGTCACTGGGGTACAGCTGAGGCTCAATGAAACTGAGTAGGATAGATGGTTGGATTAGGAGAACCCCAAGCCTCATTGGTCCTTAGATTCTATGACACGCTGGACAAAATGTCCCATAGTCAAGGGTCTCTGGTTGAATAGGCCTGTAGACCATTCTGGCCATGGAAATCGAGATAAACACAGCCCCTCTGGGACCAGTTGCTTATGAGAGATCCCCCCTGGCTCCTTGGAGAGGGGTGAGGTAGGGAAATAAGCCTCTCTGGAGAGGAGTCTCCCTGCCTGGCATCTGATCTGTGACCTCTCCCCTCCCCAAGCCATGTTGACTTAGGGTCCTCCATGTCCCTGTCCAAGAGGCCAAAGACTTAGGAATCCAGAGCCCATCTTCCCCTGCTCCCCAGTCAGCTGATGCTCAGCTTCCAGAATCAGTCAGGGTGCTTCTGTGCCCACATTGTGAAGCTTTCTTTCCCTGATGTGAGCATTTCTGCTGGAGTGCCAAGTGGTCAAACAACAGCACACTCTGCTCTTGGACGATGCTTACATCAGTGTGCTTTTTTGGAAATGTTTACCTTGCTGGTATTTTACTTGATGGTGCCAGGGTGAAAGGACTCCACATTGATTAAGCATCTGTTCCTGCCTGGCAGTATTTGGGCAGTTGATGTTTATTTATCTCATTTAATCCTCTCAGCAACCTTGAGCTATATGAATTATTATCCACATTTTATCACCAGGAACCCAGGTGTCAGAGATGTTAAGTAACTTCTGCAAAGTTACACTACTGGGACTTGAACCCAGCAACTGGCTTCATACCTGCCTTCTTTCTTCCGTGCATCTCATGCTTTGCCCACTGTAAAGTCATGTTTGTTGAATTGTATTCCTGGCATTGCAGTTCTGCTCTTCAGAACCCTATACCTTAGCTGGGTCAGAAGAGTGGGGTGTGGGGTTCACTGTTGTTGACAATATAAGTTGTCTTTATGCTGCTGTGAAGCACAGCCAGGAAGGTGAGGGTACCTGTTGCCACCCACACGAAGCCTTTGTAGATAGAAAGGGTTGCAGTCAGCCCCAAAAAGGCTTTTGTCTTCTGTGAGGGATGTGCCATCAGTGGCTCCAAGGCTGCTGGACTCTGGACTCTTCCTGACTGTTTGAATCTGAGATCAGGACTTTTCTGTTCTGAATCTGTTTCCAAAATTGGCTTCTGGGACAGTTTTTAAAGTTGTGATTGGGTATGCCACATACTTCAGAATCAGCTTGATAAAAACACAGATCTGGAGGGTTCTATCACATTAGACACTCTGCTGCTCAGAATTCTGCATTTTTGTCAAGCTCTAGACTGACTCTTGTGCATATTAGGGTTTGAGGTCTGTTGTTCTGGAGAAAAATTATTAACTTTGGCTATGAATGAGAACTATTGGGGAACTTTAACAATGAATATAAAGGTCTTGGTCCTACCCCTTAGAGACTGTGATTTAATTGGTAATACTGTTAAATTAAAAAAAAAAAAAACAATAACACTCCTTAGGTATTTCTAATGCACATCCAAGGTCAAGGTTAAGAAACATTATTTTGAAGTAATGGCTTTCAAAATGTGATCCTCAGACTGAAAGTATCAATAATACCTGGACATTCATTAGAAATGCAAAATCTTGGGTCACACCTCAGATCTGCACCACGAGAAACCTCCAGGGATAGGGCCCAGCAAATCTGTATTTGCCTTCCAGCTGATCCTGATGCATGCTAAAGTTTAAGAACCCCTGTTTTAGGGCAGTGATTCTCAATCCTGGCTGCACATTGGAATCACCCAGGAGAGTGTTTAAGAATACCAATGTCCAGGGCCCATCCCAGACCAGTTATATCAGAATCTCTTGGGGTGGGACTCAGACATTGGTATTTTTTAAAGCTCTCCCAGTGATTCCAATGTTCTAGATAATGAGAACAGTGTTCCCAAAAAGGAGCTGTAAGCATTTGGCACCATGGGTAAGACATAATTGTGTAGACGCATCACAGTTATGGTGGAACTTAGGGTTGGGTGCATTGGGTGAGGGTGGAGTAATGCATGGCACTATTTTAAACTGGTATCTTACAGAATGTGATGGGGGAGGACAAAGGAAGAAGCAAGTTCCCTTCTATGATGTTCCTCCTTGCCTTCTGCAGCAGAACCAGGAAGGAAATGAATACTGAAATTGGCACTCCCACGTAAACCAGCCTGTGCACAGGTCCCTTCAGACAGCATATAACATTTTATAAAAATGAGAGACAAGACCCTGTGGCCCATGGGAATAACATTCACAGGCCCATGGAAGTAGCATCACCAAGATTCAGACCTGGTTGTTTGAATTGCACAGCCTCCTTAAAGTTTTCCCTTTGCCAGTTCCCCAAATTCTGGCTGCTTCAAGTGTCATTTAATGTCTCACCTGTTGCGTTTTGTTGTATTTGCCTTTTTGTTTGGAACAGATTAAAAATAATGAACCTTTGATCAACGTGCTTTACAAAGTGCTGAAGAAGTCAGCACGGGGCTGTCGGCCCAGGAGAAGCGTAAGATGATCTGATCCGTGTCTCCGAGCGGGGTCATTCCATTGCTTCTGGCTCCGTGCCGACTTCATCACTTGCTTAACCAGTTGCTCTCCTGACTGCCCCAGGCTTCCCGCAAGTCATTTTGGTTTATTTTCTTTCAAATGAAGCTCTTTTCAGCATTTTGGCTGATGCACCAAGCTGAGCCTCTCATCTGTGGTTTTCTGTGACTCCATGTTTTGTGCTGCCAAGGGTGGGGGAGCTTGCCTGGCTTGCCACCAGCTCATGTTGTGTTTCCATCATCACGTGTCTGCCTCCATGGCGAGGGCTCACCCAGACAGAGTTGAGCATGAGTTTCTTGGGAGGGAACAGCAATTACTGGTCACCTTCCAAGAGTTAGGGTATCCTCAGATTCCATGGTGGCCCTGAGATTAGGTGGCACTTTTTGAGGGCAGGGAGTTGGTATTTCGATAACAGCCTGGAGCTGGGCTAGAATAAAATGCAACCCCGTGCCCATACCCTCTTTAATTGATGCAGAAGTAGGGACTGCAGTGTGGCCAGCTCTCGTAGTATTCCAGGGGAGGCTGCAGATCAGGAAGCATGTTGTGTCCAACCATCCTGAGCCCTGAGAAAGTGGGTTGGGATGTGGTGGAGGGGAAGGAAGATGCCTGGGTGGCCTTTGATTCCCCTGTGTGGAGAGACTCTTTCACGTGGATGAGTGCCCCTAGCCTTTCTTTTTCTGATGTCAGAGATGCTTGGGGAATCCAGAGTTGATGTTTTAAGTGTATTTAAACATTGCTCTCACAAACACACTTTTAAAAGGAAAATTAGATGTAATATTGTACATGTGGATATGATATTTCTTAGTAGCCTCTGCTCTCTTGAGCAGAGCCAAATTCAAAAGCGTAAAGGTCTTCTGAGCTGTAGGAGCAGCTCTCAGTAAGCCCATGCTCTAAAGCCTGTGACCTTCCGTCCATAGGAGGCAGAGCCAGCTCATGTTACTTTGACACATTCATGAACTTCCTAAGTAAACATTGCCCGACTGTCCTCAATATGCTAGGCCCTGGCCAGGCTTTGAGGATACAAAGGAAAGGGATTGGTCTCCACAGCACCCCCTAATTAGGTAACTCTGTAGTGAGGAGAGACAAATGAGCAAAAAGAACATTGTACTCTGATGTGCTAAGTACTGTAGTAGCGGCAGATGCAACGTGTGGGAAGAGCACCCTGAAGGGCACCACCCCCAGTTAAAGGGAGAGAAGAGATGTAAGTACCTCGTCTCTGTCATGTTTATAGTCCTTTGAATTCCTAACCTACAACACCTAATAAGCAGCACTTTAAAAAGGGACAAGAGAAATCTACTTCTTAGAAAAAGAGGTAGTACTAATATCCTGAGAGGGAGAAAAAAGGTTGAATGTATATTCAGTATTCTACGAAGGCAGCAAAGGGCATACTTTTAGAAAACTTTCCATCAAAAAGTGTAATTTAGAAGATTCAGCTTCTTCTCAAAACGCCCTTTTATATAAAATATCTCATTCTTTTCTTGATGGTGCTGGATAAATGAGGCATTGCTCAATTAGATTTTCTGCCTTGTTATTTAAGTATCAAAAAGATATCCTCTGTAAAAAGCTTCAGTGAAATAAGGGGAAGAGTTTTGCTGGGGGAAGAATCCCCCAAAGTGTGTCTCCATTTGAAAATGATTTCTGCCTAGGAAATGAGCACCAAAGGTCAGCTCCTTTGGAGAATAGACAGTCTCCTTGTCCTTGGGTTTGATGAAAGGACGATGACGTAGAGAGAAGACTTCACTGCTTTCACCTGCTTTTTCTCCTGGGTTCCCCTGAATTTAAAACCCATAGTCTGCCTGAGAAGTTCAGCTGTTTGTCATTTACCAGGATTAATTTCATGCCTGCCCACCCCCCACCCCCATTGCAGGAGAGAGCACAGTCTGTTTGTTTGTGGATCGTTGCAGTCTTGTGTTCTGCAACTGTGTGTATATGTGTATGTACACATAATCTGCCAGTCTGAAGAGCGGAATTTGGCTGGAGTTCTGTTTTTCCCAGGAACTCGACAACACTGACCTACATGTGTTTCCCTTTGACCTACATGCAATTCAATAAGCATTTGCTGAGTTTGTGCCAGGTCTTCTGTTCAGGGCTGACTTTACCAAGATACATAAAATAATGGTCTCGCCCTCCTCTGTACAACCAAAGGGATCATGGGAATGAGTGGGGCAGGTGTATAGCCCAGAATCAGTCCTCACCCCAAGGTAGGGAGAGATCCTCTCCCTTGACCTTTGGATTTGCTCATGATAATTTGCAGGGAGAAGGAGCATAGGATTAGGACAGGTGGGCACATGAAATGCTTGAGCACTGAGGGAAATGTTTGCCAATTTATTTCCACCCCCACTTCACACTGACAAACTCCCCAGAACTTACAGATAGAATGGGGAGAAATCCACAGCCTTCTCTCCAGCAGCTATCTGTCTATACGGGGACCTCCCTGCATAGCACACACACCACCTCTCTGCCACTGTTAGCTCCACCCTCCATTTCCCTGGTCAGATCTGAAAATTGAGTTCAGTGAGGTGGCTTCCCCTATACCAGGCACATTAGACTTGGCTCTCCCTGGCCTCATTTTGTCCATGGGACGGTGCATCTGTGAAAGTCACTACCCTCAGCCCCTGCATGACTTTTGGCAAGAAAGAGACTAGGGGAAGTGGAAAAATGGGATAAGTCAGATTTAGATTCTCAGGAGTCAGTGGGAGACGGGCAGTATATTGCCTACTTTGAGTCAAGTGAGGGACGGGAAATGTGAAATCCCATTGGCCCACAAGTGTGGGTGACTTTTATGTATTGCTCTGTGGTTTTCTTTCTTGTAATTTATACAAGTACAGCCTAGCCTCAGTTATTCAGGAAACAATTAAAAAACCTACTGGGAACTTGCCAGGTTCCTTTTTTCCTTGGCCAGGTCTTCTTCCCAAATGGCACAGGGTGAGGAAGGCTGGCCTTACCCATGGGGGAGTGGGCTGCTCAGAGACTCCCTTAAGCTAAGGCTTGACAATGGCGAAGGTATTTGTTTGTTCCTCTGGGTCCACCCATCTCACCACCCCGGGCAGGACCAGGACGTGATGGGCTTCTGTAACTTGTGTTTGTTCCCAGGTTCAGTAGCACACCTCTGTCTTATCAGTGGCAAATCTTCCAAGATTCATGCTGGTTTTTCACCTTCATTTTAGGCAAATACATACTTTAAAAATTGATGATCCTATAACTTGAACATCTACATTTTCTTTAATTCAGAGGACTTACCAGTGTTATACTAGAATCATGAAAAGGTTTGGTGCTTTTCCTAAAATGAAATAGGCATAGAAATAGAGCAAATATGGCCCAAGTTTTTGCCCCTGTCCTGCTGTGACCCTATCTGCCACTGCCAAGGGCTTCCACACCATCCGTTGTAGGATGAATTTTCTTTCCCGAGTTCTGATCTCAAACACCATGGTTAAATCTCTTTTAAATTGTTCACCTCCCAGATGACAGGCCGGGACCTTCTTAAGGATCGAAGTCTGAAGCCTGTGAAGATCGCGGAGAGCGACATTGATGTGAGTGAGCAGAGTGACATGCTGATCCCTCAGCTGCCTCCTGGGTGAACAGCTTTAGGCAGGGCTTGGATGGTTCTGTAGCCAAAGGCTACCTGATCACGATTTCAAGGTCATGTCCTTTTCTCATCATCCCAGGCCCTCTCCCACCCTGTTCTTGCTTTTAGGTCAAACTGAGCATCTTCTGCGAACAAGACAGGATCCTCCAGGACTTGGAAGACAAGATACGAGCCCTTAAGGAGAACAAAGTACGTGTCAGTTTTGAATAACCTTGGGATGAGCAGAGGGGCATTTTGTCCTGTCTTTCTTGAGACATAGACTGTACCATTATGTTAGTATTGAACAACACATGTTAGCTTATTTAAAAAGAAAATGCCCTTGTATTTAAATGGTGTTTCCTAGGGGTTTCTATCTTATAGAGACCCTCCTGCCCCCATTCTGCTTTGGCCCACCTCTCCCTGGAGGCCCTGTGAGGTGAACCTGGAAGAGAAGCTCCACTGGTTTATATGGATGACCCCAGGTCCCTGAACCCCAGGGAAGCAGGGTTCCTTTGGATAAAGTAGCTGCAGTCATTACAGGGCAGAGTCCTTTGCTTCCTAATGTGCCTTATCTCCTAGGCTCTGGACTGTGGAGGCAGCAAGTCTGGATGGGAGTGTAGGAATGGGCCTGGGACCACCAACATTTGGTCTTTTCTATTCTTAAAGTAATTTTTTTCCTTTTGCATTTTAGTAAGACATGATATTTGTGATACTGAAAGTTGAGAATATACTCTTTTCCCTAGGAGGTTAGAGAGGCTTTTTTTTTTAATTCTTTGTTTTATCCTCTTAGTTTATCCCATAAAGAGTTAGACAGCTGTATCCCCAGTTTATAGATGACGAAATTGAGGCCACAGAGCTGTTCGGTACTTTTCCCTAGAAAAGTACCAGAGTCACCACAGACCCTGACTGGTGTCAGCTCTGTGGACCCACAGCTCAGTGCTGGTCCCTTCAGCCTTGGTTAGGTCCAGTAGCTCTGGTTCCTGGTGTGGTATGGGGAGGTCTCTGGGGACTGTCCTATCCTGTTGCTCTTTAACCCTTCCTTGGTGTAGGACCAGCTAGAATCCGTGCTGGAGGTATTGCACAGACAGATGGAGCAGTACCGAGACCAGCCCCAGCACTTGGAGAAGATTGCCTACCAGCAGAAGTTGCTGCAGGAGGACCTGGTCCATATCCGAGCTGAGCTCTCCAGAGAGTCCACTGTGCGTAGAGGGTGGCAGACCCATCTTCCTCGGGACAGGCTGGGCGAGGGGCTGCTTTTCGCACCTCCCAAGATGTAGTTGAGTTGGCGTCCAGAGATAAGAGTCCTGAAATAGCAGAGCTTCTCCAGTAGCAGAACTGCCTGCTGACAGTAGATGACCTTGTCTGCGGGTGACATGTCTGCCTGTACGTGTGCCTTAGGCTGCTTACCACAGCGACTCTTGAAGGCCAGTGACATCCAGTGGGCCAGATTCCTCAGAGCTCCCTTCAAGGCTGATCCGTGATCTGCGTGCAGTTGATTCTAAGATGTCAGAATTTCCGCTTTTTCACTTGTCAGTCTGTTGTGATACAGTCCAGGGCTGAGAAAGCATCCTGAGGGTGGAAGAGGGGACAGTGCAGATGGCCAGGGTCAGAGCACAAATGAGAGGATGCCATGCTTCTTCCTGCTCCTGTCTCTGTCCCACCAGGCCTGCCAGGTCTCCTTCCCTCCTCCCCTGGCTAGGTAAGCATGGTTAGGAGTACAGGTACTCATGAGGCCTCCCAAGGGGCAGGGGATAACTGGGAACTGGAAGCATTTTCTTGGCCAACAGGAGATGGAAAACGCTTGGAATGAATACCTGAAGTTGGAGAATGATGTGGAACAGCTGAAGCAGACCCTGCAGGAGCAACACAGAAGAGCCTTTTTTTTCCAGGTGACCTGATACTTGTCCATCCCTTGGAACTCTTGATTTTTTTCCAAAAACCTTCACCTGTGGGGTCTGTGAGCACTGCTCAGAGGCCTTTTCTCGCTCCGCCCCAGATGCTCCACCCCTGTAAAGGAGCCACCCCAAGCTCTCCCTTGAAGATCCCTTCCCCGAGCCAGGCTGTGATGAGAAGCCTCACTCCCTTCCTCTCACCTCTCTGCTCTCAAAGAAAAGCTCTTGGGCGTTTTAAAAAGGGCTTTACTTCTGATCATTTGGGGTGATCATGATCACAGAGTGATCCATGTTCCCGTAGTTCTTGGCCCCATCTTAGGCTGCTAGCTCATTGCTTAGACAGCAGCAGGAAGCATCCACCCCTTCCCTCCTCTGATTCCTGGAGATAGATGTTATCACACCTCTAGCAGAGGGAGACAGTGTCAATTTTGTTCTTTGAGGCACTCTGGTGTCCAGGCAGTCATTTGCATGTCTGGAGGCCAGGCTGGGTGATACCCATCTCTGTGACCCCTGTCCCACTCAGGAAAGGTGGCCTTAGAACCCTGCCTCTTTACCCTTAAAAAATCAGGCCACCCCAATGATAGCTGCCTCTGTCCCCTAGAAGGGAGACAGTGAAAGGCCCTGTGTGGTTTTTCTTCTTCCATATTGTGTTCCTAGCTGCCCAGTGTTCCCCCACTGTGGTGCTTAACCAGGGTTTCACCCCACCTTCACAATTCTTTAAGTGGAAAGTAACCCGTTTTTGTCTCACCTCACTTAAGATCTATATCTTCTCCTTTCAGGGCTCTGACATAAGTGTGTTTGAATTCAGCAAGCATTAATTTGAGGCTTCCTGTGTATGAGGCACCGTGCTGGGCCACTTTTGGTGCTGACCTTGCTAATTGCTGAGCTAATTCTAACCAAGGCTCTTCGTTTAAGTGATTTAATGAGTATGTTGACTCTCCAGACATTAGCCTCCCCCCAGAAAGTTGAAGGAAATTCTGGAGGAGGTTTAGGTATGTGGGCCCTGAGGCTTTTCCCAGGGCCCTGCTGTCCCTCTGTTCATGCAGAGATGGTTCCCAGAGAGCCCTGTCTAGGACCACATGGAGGAGACCCTTGCCTGTGGCTCAGGGCTGGCCTGCAAGACCCTCTCCAGCACCTGTCTGTCTTCTGCTGCTGCTGGGGTTGTTTCCCTCCCATAATTTCTCTTCATCCACACTGGCTAACATTTCACTACTTTTTTGTAGCCCCAGCACTTACAGTAATGACTTGAAAATACTAGGTGAACGCTGTTGACAAAGTCCTTTAATTATTTCTGGTTATGAGCTCCTAAAACTGTCCGCCCAGGTATACCTATTTTCTTGGACCTCAGTGATCTGAATTTTTTTAGCAGTAATTTTTTTCCTTTATTTTTAGCAGTATTTTTTTTTTTAGCTTTTCGTTCTTTGTTTTTGTAATTACACAAATGATACATGAATAAGCGTCTTTGAAAAGGCCAAAACAATAAGAAGCAAAAACAAAAAAATGATATAAAAGCTCCTCTTCCCCCCTCCCTTTCTGCCCCATCACTCTGCCTATGTGACATCAGTGCTATCTGTTAACGTTGCTTTATAGACCATTTTCTATGCATTTCCAAAAATATGCACATGCATAGAAGCATATGATTTATTCAGGGCTGGGAGCAGGTAAAAGGCTTACTTAAAGAGGATCACACTTGTACACTATTTGGCAAGTCACTTTTTTGTCATAACCTGATATCATGGAAATTTTTCCAAGAAAGTTAACCCCAAATTTATTCTGCCCAATAAAATATAAATTAAAAGTAACTGAAATTCAAAATGTATCCTCATCTTAATCAGACTCCTTCAAGTGCCCCATATCCACGTGTGGCTGTTGGCTACTGTATTGAGTAGCACCAGTCTAAGAAAATCAAATTCATTCTTCTTGACTATTACAGACTATTTCATAGTCTGGGTGTTTCCTGCTTTACCTAACCATTCCTTTTCTGATGGCATTTAATTATTTTCAGTGTTTTTTTTTAATAGATGGTGTTGTGGTTAGGATTCATGTAATTACCTTTTCATATTTGTTTGCAAGTATCTAAGATAGGCTCCTAAGAGTGGACTTGCTGGGGTTGAAATGAGTTTACATCTTCAAAGTTGATGGATATGCCAAGCCACCTTCTAAAGGGCTGCATCTGTTTACCTTTCCACCCACAGCAGATGAAAGTACTGACTCTATTTGCCCACATCCTTGTCAGCATTTGCAATCAATCTTTCTAGTCTTGCCTGTCTACTAAATGACATCTTGTTTTAATTTGCATTTATTTAGTTATTAGCAGGTGAAACATCTATTCATATGATTTTTGACCACTTGTGTCTCTACTGTGCCTTATATCATGATGGTTTAACAAAGAGCAGGCCAGAATTCTTTTTTCCCCTTCCCTCTAAAAAGCAAATAGAACACTGTGACAGGTCTTTGTGACAGACTCCCTGGAGAACTCAGCCCCATGAGTTACTCTCAGGTAGGCCAGCCTAGAGCCTGCAGCTTGATTTCCACCTTGCCTGCAGCATTGCTCACACTTTCCCTAAGTGGCGCAGTGACCTGGGAAGCTCACAAAGCCCTGCTTTGAGCAGGTACTGTGCTAGCTTCTTTGGTGTCATCCTAGGCCAGGCAGGCTGTTAGAGCCTTAGATAAATCATCAGCACTGCAGATACACTTGCAGCCCTATATGCAGATTCTTAGTAACAGGGCTTAGAAACTCACCTCCCTGGAGCCTAGTTGGCTCCAGGAAAATAGTCATTTCAGTCAAGGCTAAAACAGTGAGTTCAAGGCTTTGTTGAAAACAGCACATAGGAGCCTTTCTGCCCATTGTGGTGCAAGGAGGCAGGAATGAAACTCCACTCCCTTGTTTCCCAAAACCTCCCCTCATTATGAAGGCCTCAAATTCTGTCACCCTTGGAGAAGGATAGGGATTCTCCAACCTTTTTTCTTCTCTGCTCTTTGATTTTCTTTCACATGCAGGGGTGACAGAAAGGCATAAGGGGAGCAAGAGAGTGGCTCACAGAGGGGCTTTGCCAGGGAGCTCTGGAGGAGGAAGGGGACTACATTTAATCCCTTTCTTTACCTGTTCCCAACACTCAGCTTGGGGACTTTGGCCTTAGAGGTCATCCTCTTACACACACATACTTTGGGCTCAGTAATACACCTGTCTGTTTTAGGATGCTCATGCATTGGCATGGAGCTAAGAATCAAGCCCATTATTTGCTTCAGACCCAAGGATGTGCTTTATGTTGGAGGGGTCGAGAGAGAGTGAGAACTGTGAGCCCCTTTGGGTCAGGAGGCTTTGGACATCTGTTGTCACGGCTGTTGGAGAGTATTTGCTCAGGGAATTTTACATGACTGGTCCTTTACTCATGTAGCATGTGTGCACTGAGAACTGTTAAATGCCAGGCCCTGTAGGGGATGGATCAAGGAGCAGCATCGGGCAGGTCCTCGAGGCTCATGCTGTGCGAGAACTCTTCCAGTTGATGGGTAGCTGGGTGCCTTGAGAGGAAATGAGGTGGGAGCCTGCCTTTATTTTAGTCCATGGGGTGGGACCAAGGCTCTCTTTTCCCAATCATAACTTAAAAGTCAAGAGAATACTATATTTGATGTTTAAACCACCCCATCAAGAGATGGCCACAGTCCCTTAGCCACATCAGACCCCTCCACACCTCTTTTAGATCCTTTTCCCATTCGATTTTGGTTGTCACTTGTCAGAATGCACATGATCATATCACCTAGGTCCTTCCACATTGTATTCTTTGGAGTTTATTATTTTTTTAAATTGACACATAAAAATTGTACTCTTATCATACTAAAAAAATTAACAGCTTAATCATATAATTCACATGCAATAAAATTAACCCCTTTGGCTGGTCATGGTGGCTCATGGCTATAATCCCAGCACTTTGGGAGGCCAAGGCAGGAGGACCACTGGGAACCAGTAGTTCAAGACCATCCTGGGCAACATAATGAGACCCCTGTCTCTACAAATAACCAAGAAAAAGAAAAAGAAAGAAAAAGAAAAACTAGCCAGGCCTGTTGGCATGCTTCAGTAGTCTTAGCTACTTGGGAGTCCAAGGTGGGGGGATCACTTGAGCCCAGGAGTTTGAGGTTACAATGAGCTGTCACCAACTAAGACGAAGCCCGAAGTTGTGACATCTCAGAGCTGAACGCCATTGTTTCCTCTGTGTTCTCAGATCACCTTCTCCTGGGAGAGAACCTCCTGGGAAAACTTGGGGAAAGGGACCCAGCCAGAGTCCTAAAGGAGTCCTTCGTCACAAGCAGTTAAAAACAAAGTGACCCTGTCTCCAAAAAAAAAAAAAAAAATACATTCACCGTCTTAAAGTATACATATCAGTGGTTGTTGGTATATTCACAGCATTGCCGTCACCATAATCAATTTTATAACACTTCATTATTCCCCAACAGAAACCCCGTATCCATTAGCAGTCACTCCCATCCCCACAGCATCCCCTCTGCCCTAGCCAAACACGAATTTTCTTTCAGTTTCTACTGATTTGACTAGTCTGGACATTTCTTGTAAATTGAATCATATAATGTGTGGCATCTTGTGACTGGCTTCTTTCCCTCACGTGTTTTCAAGGATCATCCTTGTTGTAGCATGTATCAGTACTTCATTCCTTTTTATTGCCAACTAATATTCCATTCCACACTGTATTTTTAACTAAACCTCAAATTCAGGTTCAGCTCTGACTTTTAAAAAGTGTTTTTTATATCCTAGAGATGGTGTAAACTCTAGTCCTTGCCTTTCCTTCTGCCATGGTTACATAAGGCAGTGCCTTTAAAAAATTTATGGTAAAATACACAGAACATAAATTTTACCATCTTTATTATTATTATTTTGTTGAGACCCGGTCTCGTTTGCCAGGCTGGAGTGCAGTGGTGCGATCTCAGCTCACTGCAACCTCTGCCTCTGGGGTTCAAGTGATTCTTGTGCCTCAGCCTCCGAATAGCTGGGATTACAGGAGCTTGCCACCATGCTCGGCTAATTTTTGTATTTTTAGTAGAGCAGGGTTTCACATGTTGGCCAGGCTAGTCTCGAACTCCTGGACTCAAGTGTTCCACCGCCTTGGCCTCCCAAAGTGTGGGAATTACAGACAGGAGCCATTGTGCCTGGCTCATCTCAATTATTTTTAAGTATACAGTTCAGTGGTGTTAAGTATATTCACATTTTTGTGCACCCAATCTCCAGAACTTTTTATCTTGTATAACTGAAACTCTACACACATTAAATAGTTCTCCATTCTTCCCTCTCTTCACCCCTGGCAACCACTGTTGTACTTCCTGTCTCTATGAAATTGACTACTCTAAGTACATCATACAATATTTTAGTGCAATGGCACAGTGTTTACGGCAGTCTATTTTTAAATTAGGTAGGCAAGCTGGACTGGTAAAAGCTACTCTGAAATTCCTCCCTGCATCTTGGGCATTTTCTATATCTATGCTTCCTTAGGAAGCTGTGAAACAGACTTGGCTCTAGCATTAGCGGGGTTTCCAGAGGGGATGCTGCCCTCCAGCGCAGGGGGCTCTGTCTGAAATGGTAGGATAAGTCCTAAGAAGAAACTTCTCGTGAGGAGCTAAGAAGGCAAACCCACCACATTGTCTCCCTCAGGAGAAATCGCAGATACAGAAAGATCTATGGAGAATTGAAGATGTCATTGCAGGCCTCAGTGCAAATAAAGAGAACTTCAGAATCCTTGTGGAGTCAGTCAAAAATCCAGGTGAGCTGTTCATCTTCCTGGGTGCAGGGGGATCTGGGTGGAGGGGTGGCAGGGAGAGGGTGGAAGTCTGGGAACCAGGTGGGTGGACTGGCCCTTGGGGAGGTCAGGTCTTTGAGGTGCTAAGTCACTCCACTCGTCCCACTCCCCCTTCCAAGGAAGGGGGTCTTGGTTCCATCCTGTGCTTTTCTTCTGCGCCTCTTAGAGAGAAAAACGGTGCCTTTGTTTCCTCATCCGCCTGTGCCTTCACTCTCAACTTCTGAGAGCAAGCCGCCCCCACAGCCCAGTCCTCCCACCAGCCCTGTGCGGACCCCTTTGGAGGTTCGACTCTTCCCCCAGCTGCAAACCTACATGCCGTACCGACCTCACCCACCCCAGCTGAGGAAAGTGACATCCCCCCTTCAGTCACCAACTAAGATGAAGCCCAAAGTTGTAAGTAGTGATGTCTCGGAGCTGAACGCCATTGTTTCCTCTGTGTCCTCAGATCACCTTCTCCTGGGAGAGAAGCTCCTGGGAAGACCTGGGGAAACCCAGCCGGTGTCCTAAAGGAGTCCTTAGTCAAAAGCAGTTAAGTAGTATTTCCAGGCCGGGTGCAGTGGCTCAAGCCTGTAATCCAGCACTTTGGGAGGCCGAGGCAGGTGGATCACGAGGTCAAGAGATCGAGACCATCCTAGTCAACATGGTGAAACCCCGTCTCTACTAAAAATACAAAAAAAAATTAGCTGGGCGTGGTGGCGTGTGCCTGTTATCCCAGCTACTCAGGAGGCTGAGGCAGGAGAATTGCCTGAACCCAGGAGGCAGAGGTTGCGGTGAGCCGAGATCGCACCATTGCACTCCAGCCTGGGTAACAAGAGCGAAACGCCGTCTCAAACAAAACAAAACAAAACAAAAAAGTAGTATTTCCCTGCTGTTGTGCCTTAGACTCTCAGAACTGGAAGACCCCTGAAAGATGATGTAACCCAACTCTCCCATTTTGCAGTTGGGAAAACTGAGGCCCACCGAGAAGTGACTGTGCTGAGGAGGGTGGAGTTTGTGGTCTGCACTGTGCAGAGAGGTGTGTGGCTGTGGGCAAGGCTGTCCCCATGTAAGCCTTTGTGCAAATCTGCAGGGGGCTCTCCTGCAGTTACACAGCCTGTGGGCAGTGAGCTCACTCCAGTGGAAAAGTCCTTCCCTTCACCTGCCGCTGAGCACTGGGCTGGGTCGTGAGGATGCTTTGATGTTTAAAATAACCTCACAGAGTATACACAGGCAGGGCAATATCCCCATTCCACAGAGAAGAAAAAGCCTAAATTGTTGACATTTGCTCAATATTGCCATGCTAACTAGTGAATCCAATCACATTTCCTGGCCCTTCTCTTTTATTCTGTGGCATCTACCATCTAACTGGGCCTTCAATCCCAGATCTGGTCTGTGGCCTCTGTGCTGACTGGGCCAGCACCTGGATTTGCCTAGAATAGAAAGGGGCCAAGCTCTTAGCAGTGTCTGGGAATGCAGGAGACTTTAAGGAAACAGGAGATGTGGTCAGGTCCTAAGAGAGCTCACGCCTCCAGGGCCAGGCCAGCCTTGGCTGGAGAACACAAGGAGGCTGGTCCCAGTGCAGGGAAGCCATAGCAGAGTGGACCTTGGAATGGGGACCTCCAGATTTTTACCAACAAAGGCTTGGAGGAGACTCACTTGGGCACCACGTGTGCCTGAACCTCTGATGAGGTCAGTGCACAATGCTGGGTAAAACACATGAGTTCTGGTACCCTGGTCCTCACCATCTACCTGTTTCCAGCCATGGCCCAGAGCCCAGAGCTGGACTCAGTGTGGCCCAGCACCCAGCCAGAGAGTCACTGTGGATTTCAACATCTTGAGATCTCCTTCCCAATCCCAGATCCAAGAGGTGGACTTCCCTAAAACAGAAGGTAGAAAATACCAAAACAAACAGCAGGAATGTCTGGGGCAGACGGCTGCCGACATAGAGCAGGATGCTGCCAGCTGGGACAGGGAGTAGGGGGAAAAGGCTCTGGTGTAGGAGCTGGAACACCCGGAATCTGGGACTGATTCTCTCATTGTATCCTCAGGCAAGTCTGTCCCTTCTCTGAGCTTCCTCAGTTTCCTTTTTATAGATGGTCACAGAGGCTTCTCCTCAGCATGGTCATCTGTGGCTTTCAGGCAGGGCTTTTTCAGCCTGGGTGAGCATTGGGGTCACCAGAAGAGGTCCTCTCTCCTAGGAATATATGTGTATTTGCCAGTTTCACCATTTGTTTTGTTATTTGCTTGTCTTTAACACTTATAAGATGAGCATGGTGGTGCATGCCTGTAGTCCCAGCTATTGGGGAGGCAAAGGCAGGAAGATTACTTGAGCCCAGGAGTTTGAAGTTGCAGTGACCTGTGATCACACAACTGCACTCCAGCCTGGGCAGTACAGCAAGACCCTGTCTCAAAACAAAACAAAACCCATTTGTATTTGTGAAACAATAATATCCATTTTGAAAATGACATAAACAGGATTATATAATTTAACGAATAATAATAAAGACACCTGTTTTCTACCAACACCTAGACTAAGAAATAGAACACTGCCAGCAACCAGAAGCCGGTGAGCAGCAACCAGGCCAGGCTGCTCCCTGTCTGCCAGAAGGAAACACAATCTTGACTTTTTGGATAATAATCCCCTTGCCATTTTTTTTTTTAAAGTTTTAGCACCTGTGTTGACCTTCCTAAACACTGTGATTGTGCTGGTATATAATTCTAGACTCTTTTTGTATCTTGGATCTTTTCTTCAACATCATGTTTGTGAGATTTATACATGTTGTTGCATGTGGCTATAGTTCATTTTTATTTGGCTTATTTTCTTGAGTCTAATGTCTTTTTAAAAATAGATAATATTCTCAAAGGATACAAAAGGAAAAGGTAATTAAAAAGTACATAGTAACATGTCTCCTTCCCACCCTCTGTCTCCAGACATTCCATTCAAAGGCAGTCAGTGTTTTGTGTTTATCTTTCTGGGGGCTTTTTAGAAATGGGTGATTCAGATGTCTTATCAGGATTGGAAGCTGGATCCTCGGAGAACCAGTAACTTTCACAAGTCAGTGAAGTGCGTTGCTTTAGAGGATTGTTGATAAACCTTTGCTTTGGAGTGCTCTTTCCTGAACTTTCCAAGAGTTTGGAGTGCCCTTTCCTGAACTCTGGGAAATTCTTAAAAACAAAACAAATTAGACTAAGAAAAAGGGAATTTAGGAGGTGGAGGGCGTGATGGTCATTAGCCCTGCGAGTGGGTGTTCATGGCAGCCAGAGCCAGTCTGTTGCTATGTGGAGGAACCACAGCCCTCACAGAGCACTGCGGACAGGGAGTTTCAAGGAAAACACTTGTATTCATCACATTCTAGGGAATGAGCTGCGTGGTAAGCAGAGAGTCACTCATCCTGACCGCCTGTTCTGTCTGAGTCAGGAAGGAGGAGATATTTTGTAACCATGCACATTTGTGATAGAAAGGCCAGGGGGATGTAGCCTCTGTCCTTGTTCGGGTCCCCACCCTGCTGAAGGATCCAGAGCTGGTTCAGGGCCAGTGAGCCAGCTTGGGCTGACCACTGCTGAGTGGGTAGATGTTTATTTTCCAGGTAGGTGGTGCTGTCATAAGCATGGAAGTCTGGGCAGGGTTAGCGGCCTGCCTGCGATGTGCACTCTAGATGAGTGGAGGGAGCAGCGTGGCACAGCACCAAGGGCATAGACCTGGGAGACCTGAGTCCTGGGTTTTGGGACACAGTTATACAGATATCACTCTGAGGAACAGAAACTGTTCACATCTGAGGAGAGAGAGGAACAGAGGCATGTTCCTTCTTCACTGCTCCTCCAGGGGAAATGTGAGTGCTCCTTGGCTGAGGGGTTCATGTTCTGTGGCTCTGATGTGACCTGTTCTTGCCCTTTAAACCCCCGACTGTGGCAGTGCACTTAGCAGCCCTCCCTTCAGCTCCATCTCACTGGGCACTGGTCTGGTTCTGTTTCTCAGCAGGAAGATGAAGCACCTCCCAGGCCCCCACTCCCTGAGCTCTACAGCCCAGAGGACCAGCCCCCAGCCGTGCCACCTCTCCCTAGAGAGGCCACCATCATCCGGCACACGTCTGTGCGGGGCCTCAAGCGGCAGTCGGATGAGAGGAAGCGAGACCGGGAGCTGGGGCAGTGTGTGAACGGGGACTCCAGAGTGAGCAGGGGGGCCCTGGGGCTGCCACTCTGCATGTGGGGAGAGGGAAGAGGGTGTGACACCTACAGATGTGACCACCTGGGACTCTGCCCACAGGTGGAGCTGCGGTCGTACGTCAGTGAGCCTGAGTTGGCGACCCTCAGCGGGGACATGGCCCAACCCTCCCTGGGACTTGTGGGCCCTGATAGCGGGTACCAGACGCTGCCAGGCAGAGGTAAGGCAGGGCCCTCCCTGAAACTTCCCTGGGAATCCCACCACACTGCTTCCAGCACTCAGCTGGTACCTCATGCCCATTGGCCTGTAGCTCTAGGCCTAGGAGTGAGCAGCAGCTGGCAGGGGGCTCTGGGCTGCCAAGAGGGAGGGCCTGGCCTGCCTTCCTCTGGCCTACATCCTGATTCTCTTCCTCTGTTGTTACATCTGTCCCCAGGAACAATGATAATAGCAATTATCAGAAAGCCTGGTACTGTTTAAGCACTTTATATTGACATGATATTCACAGCAATCCTATGAGGAAAGTACTGTTATCTCCATTTTAGAGACATAGAAACTAAGGCCCAGAAAAAGTAAATAATTTGCCAATTAGCTAATCAGTGGTGGAACCAGAAGACAATCCCAGTGCCCTGGCTCCAGAGTCACTGCACCCTGCAGGCTGGGATGCTGGGTGGCTGCCACCAGTTTGGCCATCTCGGGCCTTCCAGACTGCTTCTCTTTCTTGTGCCACTCTAAGACTCAGTGAGCCCTTTCCTTAAACACTTTCTCGCCAGTTGAGTGTCCTTCTTGCTGTCCTCCTCACCCCAAGTTGGGTTGTGCAGGATGTCTAAGAGTAGATCAGGGAGTGAAAGGCATTCCTTCCCCTCCAGCCTTTCCCTCTGCCAGGAGGCCTAGTCTGCATGTAAGGAAAGCCTGGGGTGGTCCACAGATCTGTAGAGACACTGCCCCCCATCAGGGAAAAAGGTCACCCCTGGGCTGGCACCCCCATCCTCTCTTGGGGACCTTGGTCTTCCAGGCCCTGGGAAGGAAGAAGAGAAATAAGGGTGGGTCATTGGGTGGGTGCTCTTGGTCCCCCTGTAAGATTGGGGGGTGATGAGGGAGAAGCAGAGACCCACTCACCCCAGCACAAACAAGCTTGCCCTTCTCTTTCCTCACTAAGGGCTCTCAGGGTCCACATCAAGACTCCAGCAGTCGTCCACCATTGCTCCCTATGCCACACTCCGGAGGGGTCTTAATGTGGAAAGCAGCAAGGCGACCTTCCCTGTGAGTGGCCTCGAGCTGTCAAGGAGCTCCCTGCTCCTTCACATGTGGAGGGAGGGACTTCTGGGGGGACAGTGACTTGCTATCCCGTCAGCCCCAGGGATGTCCTCTGGGGTGGCTTTGGCCTGTCCTGAGCTCCCTGTCACCCACTGCCCATCAAGGAGGGCATGCTGCCTTTTTCTTTGGCCTGTCAGGGTGGCTGGATGGAGCTCAAAAAGCCTGCACCCTGAGTTCTGGCCTCACTGGACAGGCCTGAGCCTCAGTGTCTGCATCTGCAGAACGGGTGCTGCTCAGGAAGCTCCTGAGGGCTGGGGGCATCATGTTGCTTAGAGGAAGTAGTTCTCTGAGGCCGAGAGGAACTCAACTAGAGAAGAGTGTGTGTGTGTGTGTGTGTGTGTGTGTGTGTGTGTGTGTGAGAGAGAGAGAGAGAGAGAGAGAGAGAGAGAGAGAGAGAGAGTGTCAGAGAGACAGCGGGAATGCAGCTTGCAGGGTGGCTGTCCTCTGTGCTCAGCCCAGCACACTCTCTTGCATGCCTCCTCTTCCTCAGAGACCCAAGAGTGCCTTGGAGCGCCTGTACTCAGGAGACCACCAGCGGGGCAAGATGAGTGCGGAGGAGCAGCTAGAGCGCATGAAGCGACACCAGAAGGCCCTGGTCCGAGAGCGCAAGAGGACGCTGGGCCAAGGGGAGAGGACGGGCCTGCCCTCATCTCGCTACCTCAGCCGGCCGCTCCCGGGAGATCTTGGCTCAGTATGTTAGGAGTGGGTAGGGACAGGGAGCCCAGTGCCCCTCAGAGTCCCCCAAACACAAGCACATCACACCTCCCGGTGAGCAAGTTGTCCCTTGACCTAGATGCTTCAGAGAACACCCCACGGGTCTGTTTGTCCACGACCCAGGCTGGACAAACACCTGACCAGAGGGTGACCTGAACCAGAGCTGGAGTGAGGATCAAACAGGCTCAGGAGCCTGAGGAAATACCAGTCAGTCCTCCCAGCCACGCTTTGCAGGCATACAGAATCTCAGCCGAATTCAGGACGTGGGAATACAGGGTTCAGAGAGGAGAGGAAGAAGATGGTGACATGATTTGATTAGAAGCAAAAGCAAACCGACCAGCCTCCCAAACCTGCCAGCGGATGCTCTGGGAGGGTGATGGAGCACCGGGCTGCGCCCCTCTTCCCGAGGGCCGCTGGTCTCCCTGGGCTTTGCAATGCAGAAGCATCAAGGTGTCCGGGAGAGCTGGGGAGGCGTGTGCAGCCCCCTAGTGGCGCTTCCTGGCACTGCGCCCTGTTCACAGTCATCTGAGGTCCCTTTTGGAAACATTCTATTTGTCTTTTCCCTGTTGTTTGAAATCCCATGTTTTCCTAAACCTCTAGCCTGATTGTTCTTTCCCTAATTCATTGCACAAGCTCTTTTGCTTTTAGTGTTACCGCTCATTGCCTCTCTAATCCTGCCTGATTGTGTTTACAGAAGCTTCTGATTTGCATTGAACATGCTCTAACTGGCCTGTGCTACTTGTTACCAGGCTTATAATAGCAGTTCTTGTCTCCATAGCCTATTGAGCATTCCCAGATGCGACTTGCCTTTCTGCTGCCCTCTTCGTGCAGGCCTACTGACTCATAATTCACTTGTCCCAAAAGCCACCCCGCAAGCCTGAGCCAACCTGCTACCTGAGACCACAGTCATTGGCAGAGGTTCAGGCATTATGAATTTATAAAAATCCATGCCTTACACCTGGACAGTAGACAGGGACTTCAGAGATTGCACGTTTGACTACATTCTACCAAGGCTGAGGTTGTTCCATTTTAATTCCTCTAGTCCAATCACACAAGTTCTTATGGAAAATCTTTTTGTGTTTCTGGTATTTAATAACTTGAAGGGATAGCAAAATATACTGTGTATTCAGAGGGCCTATCTGCAGCTGTTAGCTCCGAACCAAAGGGGTAAGACCTAGGACATTCACATCTTTAAAAGCTGCAAACCTGATAACTTTCACACTTTTAAAACAAATGTCATATGGGGTAACACTGACCTTTTATAATTTGATGTCTCAAATGTGGAGATTATCTAAAAATCGTAACTTGAATACCTTGTAATCTTTCTCTTCAAATAAGACTTGTGTAAGTCTCTGCATCAACGCCAATAAACATGTTGCTTAATAATAATGGATTGGCGTGGTTCTTCCCCAGGATACATTGTAGAATCTAGTGAATGTTTCCTGTTTGTGGAAACAATCAGGCTGGGTTTAAATGAGGACTTATCTCTATCTGGAGCACTTGTGAGCGTGTAAGGAAATGAGTGTTTTCTTTGTGAATCATTAAATTGGCTTTTTCATACTTGGAACTTCAATTGCCTAATTCTTTCAAACAATAATTGGAGAACCATCACCTAAGAGTGATTATATTGATTTGGAGTCATTATTGAGAGCTTGTGCATGAATGGGTGAAATGTGTAAATATGGCTCTGGGTTTGGGGTTTTGGAGGGACTTGAGGAGGCATCAAAGACAGTCAGGACCATTTGGGGCTTTGAGGTGGGTGGATGGGATAGAGGAGATGGCCTGGGATAGATAAGCATCTGCTTTGGTTCTGCTCAGGGGAAGAGAGGCTTTGAGCCTGCACTATTCTCAACAACCTGCTCAGCAGTCAAAGGCCTGTGAGGATGCAGGTCCTGGGTCAACAGGAAGCCACCACAGAGCTGGACGGTCATGGTTGGATCTTATGGGTTAGATTTTCCCTCTTGGGAAGCTTGTTACAAAGTTGTACTGTGGAACAGCCTTGGAAACATTCCACTTGATTTAGCATTTCAATTTTATATGATTTAGTTTTTTTTTCTAATTCAAAGAAAACATCTATCTCAAATACATGGGTCTTATACAGCAGCTTGTCTGCCTCATTGGCTCCAAGCTGCTCTTGCTTGTACTTCCCCATCCCTGCTGTGAGTGCAGTACCCCCCACCTATGAATGTTATCTTGTTGGAAATTCCCAATAGAAAGACCCTTGGTTATTCTACTTGCTTAGCAGGGCCTCGAAGGGAGTGTTTTTCCATTAATTCTGAGCCTGGGATATATGTCTCCTGAACCAGCAAGTTTTCCACGAGCTGTAGAGAGCAGAAGGCACAAATCCCTTCTCTAGAGCTGTGTCCCAAGTTGTTTGGAGGTCACCCTTTCTGGGAGTCTTCTATTTCCCTGGGGACCACTGTGAGCCTAAAGTCATGAGTCTTAGACCTGTTCCCCAAGGGTATATGTTTCAAACTTCTGGGGACTCAGATCAGAGAGCATTTAGCAGTCTGAAACAGCCCATATGAAGGGATCAGAGGCTTTGTTCTCTATTGCACATACAGCTTTTCCCTAAGGGGATCATAGGTCCATCTTCCAAAGGCCCTCATGGAAAAAGGTGACCAGCCATGCTCTTTCAGCAATCAGGAAGTGACTACATTTAACCCTTTTGTTCTGTTGCCAGTGGAAGCGTGAGCAGGACTTTGACCTGCAGTTGCTGGAACGGGTCGTGCAAGGGGAAAGAAAGGACAAGGAGGAGAATGGCTGGTTGAAAGTGCAGGCCATGCCTGTCACTGAGTTGGACCTGGAGCCTCAAGACTATGACTTGGACATCAGCAGAGAGGTGAGGGCAGGTGCCTCCTTCATGTCCTCCAGGAGACATGGCCTTCAAGCTTCCAGCCTGATATACCCTCCCACTTGGGGGGTATCATCCTGAATAGGGACATGGCTCAGCTTCAGTGTGGCCTAGGAAAATGGATGGATAGCAACTTGAGGCAATAAAAGGAGGCCAGACGTTTCAGTGAAGGTTCAAATCTATCTCTGTAACTTAGGGCAAGTTGTAATTTTAGCTTCTCTGAGCCTCAGTTTCCTCAACAGTGCAGTGGGTTGTGAAGAGGATTCAGTGACTCCACATGTTCTCAGGAGGTTTAGTAATCAAAGCTACGTAGTAGGCACATGAGCGGCAGTTGTTATTGTTAGGAAATGTTCCCTGCAACACCAGGGGTTGGCTTTGCAACTGGCTGGTGAGGCCAACTTGGGCAGTCTGACTAGGGGAAAATAGGGGGCAGGTTTGAAAATCACAGGTGAAATTTCCAGCCATGATAGAAGTTTGGAGACTGTGCAGACTTCCGGTCCGAATTCTTCTGCTGCCCTCTTGTGGCTCATATGCATCATGACAGGGCAGGCCCAGGAGAGCAAGTAACTCCTGGATGGATCTCTACCCATCTAGAATGTCTCTACCCAAAGGGAGAGAAAGGGAACTCAGGATGACACACTCAGCGTCTTCAAGACATAGATGGTCTCCTGTGGCCTATGTCGATGCTATTCCTAAGCTCTGCGGGGCAGTGTCTGTGGCTGCTTGGTTTGCCTTTGTATCCTTAGCCCCTGGCACAGGGCCTGGCACACTGTGGGTGCATGTTACATTTTTGCTGAATGAAGACTGTGTTGAATGAATCACACAGTGACTCATAAATGTACCAAAAACATTTGTACAAGGACTTGGCCTGCCCGGAAACTGCATAAAAGAAAATGTTCTCACCACATGAAAGATGGATTAAGGCTAGACCTCAATAAAACTTTTCCCCAGGTCTGTGTAATAGGAGACTGAGTCCTGAGGAGGACCTGCATCTTCCGGAACCTTCCTGCTGTCTTAAGAGGCAGGGCCAGGCCCATTCACAAGCTGATTTGCCAGTGGTGTCTACCTGACTCAATATATAGTCTTTAAGAATAAAGGACCAGTGTGTGGATAAGAGAGATGCCTATAGGGTTGCTGAGTTTTGGGGTCCACTGGGGCTCTAGGAGTTAACAAGGTTGGTCCCCTGCCCCCAAGACCTTGTTCTTTTGGCATCTGAAACAGCCAAAGGTCTGTGCGTTCTCAGATTCACAAAAAAAGTCACCACATGCTGCCTTGGCAGGGGAAGTGTGTTCTGTAGTGTCCTGATCACCTGCCAGCACAGGGAAAAAGTTCTTCCTTATCTCTAACCTAAGTCCCTCTGGCTACAATGTAATCTGCTCCTCTAAAGCTGTCCTCACTGGAGTAACAGAGAAGAGCTTATTTCTTGCCATTTCCAGCAGAGTGAAAGGGCTGCGTGTAAGTTTAAATCCATGACCAGGTTTACCCTGGGTTTGGATTAAACTTGTTTTTTGTTTTTTTTTAAACTTCAACTCATCCCATTTTAGCATGCTTTTGTAATTCAGGGAGGAAAAAGTTCCTGGAGCATGCAAAAGCTTCTTTTAGTGTTCTTAGTCCAAGCAAGGTTTCACCAAGCCAAGTTTGCCACTAGGTCCATAGGAGATGCTGGCAAGATGGAATTTGGGGCCATTTTCCTCCAGCAAGTAGAAGATTCAGCATAGCTGTCTCCTGTCTAGATCAGAAGAGCTTTTGTAGGGACAGAAAGCATCACATCCTTTCCTTCACCCACCTGTCAATCATTCATTTATCCATTATCCATCCATTCAGGCAGAATTAGTTGGAGGGCTATTAAGTACTAAGTCCCTGCATTGGACAGAGGGAGACAATGGCGAACAGAAAGTGAGGGGGCGGAGGGGATCAGAGAAGGCTTCTCAAAGTGAGGTTGAAAAGATGAGAGTCAATGGAACCAAAGGAAGAGCTTCCTAGACTAAAGGAACAGAGGCTGCGCTGTGGGAGGGGAACTGGAGGCACTGGCTGATCAGTGGCTGGAGAGGTCATCAGGGGTCAGATCACTTAGGGCCTCGATGGTGGCAGTAAGGACGATAATTTTTTATCCCGAGACCTTGTAGACTTGTTGTTTTGCCCTTCCCTTCCCTCAGCCTGTAGGAGGTTGTTTGGTGGAATAGAAGGAACACAAGCTTTGGAGTCGGACTCAGGTTCAAAGCTGGATTCCACAGCTGATGAATTTTGCTATCTTGAGGGCAGGGGGGAAGCGAGTCCTAAACCCAGACATCTGAGCCTCTCCCTCTGCCACCTCCTCGCCTCTCCCCAGCTGTCCAAACCAGAGAAGGTGTCAATCCCTGAGCGTTATGTGGAGCTAGATCCCGAAGAGCCACCCAGCCTTGAGGAGCTGCAAGCGCGGTACCGCAAAGCCGAGAAGATCCGCAACATCCTCGCCCGGTCAAGGTCAGCCCTCGCTTGCTCAAGTACTGGCAGGTCACCCTGACCCCGGGCGGTGTCTCAACCATGTGGGCCCTGGGCCAGGCTCTCTGGGGTGTGTGTTTTGCCAGGCCTTCGTCTCAGGTTAGTCCTCCTCACTGGAGGGGGCAGGCTGCTACAGCACCAGCAGATCAGCAAGGAAGCCTGCCTAGGTCATGTGGAAAGGCCTGCAACACTTGTAAAGGCTTCTTGTTCTGGCCTCTCACCCCCAATTCTGTGTCCCAAGTGACCCTAGCAAGTGTAGAGAGTGGAGCCAGGTGTGGCTGTGAAGTGGACGCAGTTGGAGATCAGCTCCAGTGATGATCCTCCCAGCATTTGGGCCTGTGTACCTTCATGCAGACCAGTAGATCAGAGCCAATGACACCAGCCTTGTCCCTAGGGCACCAGAGGCATTGCCCACTTCCTGAGATGCTAGCCTGGGGCCCTTGGAAGTGACCTACCTGTCCCCTCAAGCCTCAATAGCTTCAGAAATTTAACTTTTTTGTAAGCCTGACTTTCAAAGCTGGCTTAGCCATTTGTGTCTGAATTTAATAAGAGCTTCCAGCTGGAGCTGGTAACTTGAGGTCTGTGGCCTTTCCAAAAGAAGTACAAGGCTGTGATTGTTTGGGTGTTTGGGGAAAAGCATGTATCTTTGTCTAGGGAAAAAGTACCATAGTTTTTGTCTGATCCCCCTCAAAATGTTGCGAACCTCCAGGCCAGGGAGACCCTCCACTCCTGAGGCTGATGCCCAGGGCAGGAGGGTCCATGGTCCACTTCCGAACCCTCCTGCAGCATGTGCAACCTGCAGCCGGCCTCAGGCCAGGACCGGAACAGTGTGGCCGACCTGGACTTGAAGCTGCAGGAGCAGGAGCGCATCATCAACATCTCCTATGCTCTGGCCTCTGAGGCCTCCCAGCGCAGCAAGCAGGTGGCAGGTAAGGCCATGGCCCAGCCCCCAAGGCCCAGATCCTGCCCCACTGCTCCTCAGGGCTTGGGCCCAGCATGGCCTGTTCCAGAGCCAGTGGAAAATCAGGTGGCAGGGATGGTAGTTGAGGGTCATTGGTGTGTTCCCCTGATCAGAGGGCATCCTATCCCATAAGCACAACAGGACTTGGAAAGGAAGGTGGGGCAGGCCACAGTGAGGGAGACAAACGGGGACCAAGCTCAGAAGTGTCAGCGGAAGAAGGTCCCAGGAGGAGTGGTGCTGCTACTCCACTTCTTCTGAGACTGTGGGCTAAGAACAGGTTGTTTCAAGGCCCTGAGCCAAGGGGTTAAGGTTTCTGACCTCTTGAAGAAGGGGGCAGGAAAGTGGTTGAAACTTGGATTTCTTGCCAGGGCAAGGCAGAAGGGGACCCCTCCAGCCCTCCCTTGGAGCCCTGCCTTGGTCTCTAAACTAAAGCCAGTGTTCCCCTAGTCAGAGTGTACTGTGCCAGAAAATACAGGACTTGGCAAGTGGGACTTCGCAGGCCAGTTGGAAAAACCATGGCATGAGAGCATGCACATAAGTGTGTGTGTGTGTGTGTCTGTGTATGTGTGTCTGTGTGTGTGTGTGTGTGTGTGTAAAAGGGCTGTTCTTTCTCTCAGCCAGGAAGGAGACTGCAGGCTCCTCCTTCCACCCACAGCTCACGTGCCTGTGTGTGTGTGCCTTGTGCCTCCACAATTCACCTAGTACCATTTCTCCCCTGACACAGAGGCCACTGTGTATCTGGGTGGTGTTCCTTCTGGAGAGGGGGAAGCCATAGAGCCTGAAGTGGTGTCATGGCTGCTACCAATTCTCCAACCCTGGCCAAAGGTCTAGAAGTGGCCAAGGGTGGGGCCAGCAGGACCCTCCAATACCTGGCCCTAGGGATCAGAGCTTTGCTGTGGCTCCAGAAGACCATGAGAGTGACTGACAACAAGGGGAGGGGCCATAGTCTTATTCAAAGCCTGTTCTCTGTCCCCCACAGCCTGATTCTGCACAGAGTCCTTGACGTCCCTGCTCTCCTCAGTCCCTTCAAGCACATGCTGAGTGGGCTGAGAGATGCCCAGTGTGGCATTCTGGGACTAGGGACACAGGAGATGGCTCATCCAGACCTCTCCTTCTAATGACTGCTGGGCTCATTTTCAGCAGCTCTTGAGCTCCTCCTGATGGGGAGGGTTCGAGCAGGTTTGGCTCCCCCATCATACCATGCCCTCTTATTGCCTTGCTTGCTCTAACCCTGGGGGTCTCCCATCCTCGGCCTCCTTACTGCCAGCAAATGAGCACCCCCAGCCCTAACATGCTGCGGCCTTTCCTCACTCTTGATCCCTCTCTCCGTCTCAGAAACATATCCAGGAACTGCAGGCTGACCCATCTGGTTCTCCACCAGGCCTCATGGATCTGTCCCTCACCTTCAAGCCCAGGCCCTTTGTGGTGGGCAGCAGGGCCCACGCCACCCCAGCCTGCCACATGGGGCATCTGGTGCTGCAGCAGCTGATGAATCTAATGCACCGCTTAATTCCTGTGTGCCCCATCTAGCACAGCAGCTGGCCCTCCTCCTGCCTAAAGGCCCCCTGTCTTCCAGGACGGTGCCACCTTACCCCCCTTTAACCAACGGACTCCACTACACCTTTGTCTAACACCTTCCAAGTAAGAGTCCCTGCCTGGCGTGCCTCTGCCTGCTCCCCGCCCCTCCCTAGCACTGAGCCCTGACCTCCTTGCTGTGCTGAGATGATTGCAGTGCCACCCTCTGACGCTTCCTTCCAATGGCAAAGCGGCTGCTGGGGGGACTGTCCTGACTGGTAGGCAGGTGGGAAAGTGATGCTTTTTGGGAACTCAGTCCCCAGTGGCTCTACTACAGTAGGGACTGAGCAATTCACCCCCATCTCCCTAAAATCTCTAGAACCAGAACTGTGCCCCCCGACTCCCCTGCTCTCCTCAGTAGGGCAACCTGACGCCTGAGGACCAGCGCAGACCACAGTGCCAGCCTCGGGGGGCTGGAAAGAAAGAGTTAGATCTTGGCCTCTCAGGGCTTTGGCCAAAGAAACCGTAGACCTGTAAGATAGAGAAAAGTCCAGCTCTACAGATGAGGAAACAGTCCTGGTGAGGGGCTGGGGCTCACTCCAGGTCACATAGAAGTAGTGTCAGCACAGAGATTGGGACTGCCCTTTTGGTCACTGGGCACATTAAGAGGGAGAGAAAGGGAAGCCCAGGGCAACGTGAAACTGGCCCTTAGCCAGGCAGAAAGCTCTGGCACCACCCCTACCAAGTCCTCCCATGTGTGCATCTAGTGATTAGACACAGGGCAGGATGAGGAGGGAGCCCTGGACCAGGAGGCCGGCAACTGGTCCAGTCTGAAGTGAGTTATTGGCCTGGGCCTGTTGCTTCTGAGCCGATCAGTTCACCTGGACAGGGGAAGGTCAGACTAGAGGTCTGGGCAGCCCTTTCCCTGACAGACATTTTGCAGGGCTTTCCCCTCTCCTTTATATACTTGTGGTTAACATTGTTGAGTGCCTGCTGTATGCCAGGCGTTGTGCTAAGCATCTCTTTTGACCCACACAACAACCCTACAAAGATATTTCCCCCACCCCACTTTACAGATGAGAAAACAAAAGCTCAGAGACCTTCAGGGATTTGCACAAGGAATTGCAGCTTGTAAGTGCCAGGGTTTAAAGCCCTTTGATATGAGTTCAGAGCCTTTGTTCCTCATCACCACTCATGAATTCATCTGGGCCACCCCAAGTGGCCCTAGTTGTTTGGAGAGAGAAGTGAAAGGAGGGAGAGAGTATTTGTGCTGAAAGGGGGCGAGGCATGATGTTTTGGCAGGTGTCCATCCTGGGTGCTCCCCCTGCCTCACAGCAGAGTCAGCAGGTCCCTGCCAGTCTGAGCATGGAAGGAAGAGGCCAGGCTCTCAGGATGTGTGGAGTAGAGGCCCCATGATGGAGGAGCCATAGGGAAGCGCTCTAGCCAATTCCATTGTGAAGGCCAAGGTTGAGGGCGTGGCTTTCTCCTAGAGATCTGAGCACAGTAACAGTGCTCAGGCACCGAGAGGCAGGAGAGAGGCTCTGTTCCTGATCAGCCCTTTATGCTCTTTTTGAAGTGCTGCATTTCCTCTTACTTGCTGCATTTCCTGTATGACCACCATGCTATTAGATTAGAAAAACAAGGCCCACAGAGGCCAAGAGCACTACCCACATTCAATGAATGAAGAGTGGGGCCAGACTGTATCCTTATCACAGTCTTTGCCCTATCAGGGTAGGGACCCAATTTAGGGGACACCATGTGTCTAGCAGTGGAGTAGGGGTGCAGGGAGGGCAGGGAGAGAGCCCCATGTGTCCTAGAAGCTGAGGGTCCCCCAGCAGCGGCCGCATTTCCCGGAGCCCCCTGCTCTGCTGCTCTGTTGCTCTGTCTGTCTGCCTATCTGCCATTCCATGTCCTGTGTGTGCAGATATGCCCTCCCTGGAGGTGAGCAGGGCTCCTGCCAGCCTCTCACTGTCTCCTGTGCTTTTTGGCAGCCCAGGCAGTGACTGACCCGTGACCCAGTATACAGAGAAGCCTGGAGCCAGGGGCCCAGTGGAACCAGCTTCCTCCAAGGAGATCAACCTTTCTGCCCCCAAGAAACTGCCTCCGGCTGGGCAGGGAATCTGGCTGGAGGAAGGAGCAGCTTACTGACTGTGGGTGTTCACCACAGGCGAGGCCCTAACATGCACCCACTAGTTTAGCTCAGACTCCTCTCTACATATGAATGGCAAAGGCACTTTTGATACACACTCTAAAATATATTGTATTTTAAAATTGGAATCTATTTTCCAATGTTCACCTCAAGGGCTGAGTGGCAGGGAGGGTGAGGATGCAGGACTTTGCAGCTGCACCTACAGATTCAGGTACTTTGGGTGACAGGTGTGGGTGGGGGAAAGGGCGGGGCAAGCAGAGGACAGTTCAACTTCCAATGACTTCAGGAGAAAGTGGGATTTGAAGAGGCGTTCCCAGTAGATTCCAGCGTCAGGCTGGTTGGCGTGCTGTCTAGGAGAAGAGGGGCCCTTGGCTGCAGAGATCAGCTGTCCCTGACCTGATGACCAATTCTATGTGAAACTCCACCAGGATGGCACGCGGAGCCCAAGTCAGCGTCTTGGCCCTTGGGTTTGGCTTAGGGGCAACAGTGTGTTCAAAAGCACTGGGGCCCACAACCTGCCCACAGGCTTCCCTCAGCAAAGGGCTCTTTTCAGAAAGAAAAAAGCAGTTTGCTTTCATTGTTTTTTTGAGATGAAGTTTTACTGTTGTTGCCCAGGCTGGAATACAATGGTACTATCTCAGCTCACCGAAATCTCTGCCTCCTGGATTCAAGTGATTCTTCTGCCTCAGCCTTCCAAATAGCTGGGATTACAGGCATGTGCCACCATGCCCAGCTAATTTTCTACTTTTAGTAGAGACAGGGTTTCTCCATGTTGGTCAGGCTGGTCTTGAACTCCTGACCTCAGGTGATCTACCTGCCTCAGCCTCCCAAAGTGCTGGAATTACAGGTATGAACCACCGTACCCAGCCTGCTTTCATTTTTAACAGTACACACTGAAGTACAGAAAAGTTGAGAGGAAACAACTTTCATTGTATCATAGCAATAAACTCCACACTGGGTGACACCTACCAGAAATCCTTTCCCTCCAACCAGGCCACGTTGGGGACCTTCCCTGCCTGCCCTTGGAAAACCCTGGTTGGCTTTCCTAGGACTCAGGTCTGGTGGCAGGAGGGCAGCAGTGTGCCCCCACCATCCCTGATGGCCTGCTGCCATAATGGCAGGACTTGACTTCCAGCCCCACATGAGGAGGGGGGCTACCAAGCCAGGTACAGTGTTTGTGGCCCTTTATTTAAGATGTGTTCTTATATTATTCTGCAAATAGAAAATGATGTTTAAGTGGAAAAACAACAGCAACAACAACAAAAACCTCCATTGGGTGGAGCCACACTTTAAATGAAAATTTCTCTTTGACTATGCTCAGAAAAAAAAAAAATAGAATTTTGAATATATTTAGCAGTTGCCGTCTATTTTTAACTAACTCCATATGCTGCCAGTATCGACTTCATGACATTTGCCAAATAAAATTTTATTTTTGCCTTTATAAGATTTTCTTGGAAAAAAATGAAATGAATATTTTGCAAGAAAAAGTTAATTTAAAAATGTAATGGTTTGCAAAAAAAATGTGATGTACAGATTAAAGTATTAACCTGATATGTTTCCTGCTTCTTGCAGACTATAGTCTCTTGTGAGTGGTCTGTGTATGTTTTTTTCCATTTCTTTGGAAAATCCCCACTGTCAGCTCTCGGCCCTGCTTGTACTCACCTATGAAAACTTTCTTCTGGTGACGGTCCTTTTCATTTGATTGACTGTGGAGGCCTGGAATGAGGAGGCCTGTGCTTCTGGGCCCCTGGCTAGGCTTCCACAGCTGGTCAGGGCAACCCCTTACTCCATCCCAGTCAAGGAGACCCCCACCCCATCCCAGTCAAGGAGCCCCCCCACCCCATCCCAGTCAAGGAGCCCCCCCCACCCCATCCCAGTCAAGGAGCCCCCTCCACCTTATCCCAGTCAAAGAGCCCCCCCCACCCCATCCCAGTCAAGGAGCCCCCCCCACCCCATCCCAGTCAAGGAGCCCACTCCACCCTATCCCAGTCAAGGAGCCCCCCCACCCCATCCCAGTCAAGGAGCCCCCTCCACCTTATCCCAGTCAAGGAGCCTCCCCACCCCATCCCAGTCAAGGAGCCCCCCCCACCCCATCCCAGTCAAGGAGCCCCCCTACCCCATCCCAGACAAGGAGCCCCCTCCACCTTATCCCAGTCAAGGAGCCCCCCCACCCCATCCCAGTCAAGGAGCCCACTCCACCTTATCCCAGTCAAGGAGCCCCCCCCACCCCATCCCAGTCAAGGAGCCCACTCCACCCTATCCCAGTCAAGGAGCCCCCTCCACCTTATCCCAGTCAAGGAGCCCCCCCACCCCATCCCAGTCAAGGAGCCCACTCCACCTTATCCCAGTCAAGGAGCCCCCCAACCCCATCGCAGTCAAGGAGCCCCCTCCACCCTATCCCAGTCAAGGAACCCCCCCCACATCCCAGTCAAGGAGCAGGCAAGCTGTGGACTCCCTCATGGGGCTGGTTTGGCAGACAGCTTGCAGTCCAATTCAAGACAGCGCAGGGGACGCTGTGGGCCCCCTTCCAACCCACATGCTGCCGGCTCGCTCCAGGGAGGCAGCTTAGTGACGGACCATTGCAAACTGGATTTGTGTTTAATTCATTTTGACTTGTGATGTATGCTCAAAACAGAAGGCAAGAAGCCAGTTCCATTGAGGGGTGTGTATATTTCCGAGCTTCTTGTTATAGCAGTTTTTCTCTACTGCCAAGAAGAGCATCTGAGGTTGGTGGTGACTTTCCAACTATTTAAACTGGGGAAAGTAGATTCCAAGGCATTCCGAACAGGGGGTACTGCTGCTTTTTTAGCTACTTATCTCTTTGAAATAAAATATACTCTTTGGTTTTAAGCATTACTTGGAGATGTCACAATAACAAATGAAGGAGGGCGGAGGTGGTGAGAATGATTTCATAACTGAGTGCAAAGCCCCCCAAAACCGAAAAAGAAGCCATACAGGAGATAGTATGGCCACCCCCACAGGGTGGCCATCTGTAGACGTTTTCTCAGTGAAAACCTGACAGTTTGTTTGTTTGTTTTTTTAACTGTTGGTCTTTCTGTCTCACACATATAATCCTGTGTAAATGGGAATGCAGTAACCCCCACCTTACTGCTCTTTTCAGAGTGCGCCATCAGGGAGGAGGGGTAACCTCTTCTATAAGAATTGAGGCCCAGATTTCAATCTACATAGTGTGTGAGTGTGTGACAGGCCCTCAACTCAGAGTCGGTGGAGAGCATGCGTGGTCAAAAAAGGCATGCACGCTCCAGCTCCATCATGCATAACAGGTGATGTGGCCCGGCCTTGAGAGCACTCTTGTTACCCGAGGTAAGATGGGGCCGGGCCATCTGTGACAGTGCTGCAGTGCTGGCTGGCCAGTGACACTACAGGGTGGGGAGGACTCTGGGGAATGCCATGTGGCCTCGTGATTCCAATTTCCCTTCCAGGAGACCCCAGGGCCTGAGCAGCATTTTAAACGAGATTGCAGTTGACGAAGGGGATGTAGGACACTTCTGTATCCATTTGCTGGTGTCCACTCCTCAATTCCGACTTTTAACCAGGTCCAGGTTGAGCCCTGGATGTCTAGTTTTAGCGAGAACCAACAATAACATTTTAGGATCTAGTATGAAACAGATTAGGAATAACATCTTCTAATGCCTACTTGAACCTCCTGAACAGCCAAGATTCTCAACACGTCCAGAATGTCGTTCAGATGATGACAATCGTATGTAGGGTTTGCGAGTCTACATGGAGTAGATGTGCCCAGACTGGTGGAGATGATGAAAACAAGTGTTTTGTTTTCTCCATCATTCACTTTCCTCCCAGCCTTGGTGTCTGCTCTGGGAGCGTAAACTTCAGCTAGCCCCTTTCTGTCTTTCTAACCCCTTGGCTGCCTTCAGGTCAGCTGGGTTCTCTAGAATTTTCTTTTTTATTTTACGTTGCAGGTCATGGCCAGGCAATCATCTATCCGCCCACATTTCATTCCAGGGGCCTGAAGGGGCGGGGGTGGGGTGGAGCAGCCCCTGGCTCAGGCTTGGCCAGACAAAAGCCGATTTTGGGCTTTGGGTATTTCACACAAGCATAGGACTCCCTGGCAAGTCCTTTTTTGTTCTCACCAGGGGCAAATCCTTTTGTGTTCTCACCAAGGGTGGGAAAGAAGCAGCAAATTATTTGTGTAATCCCCAAATCACATTTCTGAGACATGGCAGACAAATGCTGGGAGCCCTCTGCTTCCTACTCTGCATCAGACGCTGGGTGTGCAAGGGACTTTGCCCACGTGGGTTGTGCTCTGTTATGAAAAGAACAAAGAGATCTGGCTGGGGAAGACATGAAAAATGGCAGAGCCCCTCCCGGACCAGTAAACACGCCATGGCTTTGCCACCTCCACTCAAAAGGCTACCACTTTCATTGCTCTCCTAGCAAAGAAACCTTTCTTCAGAGTGAGTGGCAGGGTACAAAGGCAGAGTACAAAATATGTGCACATCACAGTCCCTGCAATTCTGTTTGAACAAGCGTATTGATTGGGTCTGACCCTGTTACATTTTTTCCCTATTATTTGAAAAGGTGCATCTAAGTGTAGTGAATTGAACCAGCGGAGCTGAACTTTCCATGAAAACTTCTCAAGGTATTTCTTTAGTTCAAAGCTTTTGAATTTTAAAGGGCATTTTTAATATGAGTCTGTTGAGTATTCTCTGTCACAGTCCAATAAGGGATGTTAAATGCAGATGAGGTTGGAGCAGGGTGAGGAAGGGAGCGGACCGTGCAGGGGAGGCTGCTGACCAGCCCAGGAAGGTCTGGGTTTTGGGGAGAAAGGCTCAGCCCCATGCTTTGGAGCAGCTAAAAGGGACCTCTCTGAGCACTAGGGCAACTGCTTAGCGACAGGGAAGAGGCTTCACAGCTGCACCTGAAGACTTGCACTGGGAGAGCTGGGAAGTACTTGCTGAGGGCTCCTCCAACGGAAGAGGGTTTTGTCTTCATGCATAAGGGCCTCCTTGCTGCTCAATGTCTCTCACACTCCGCCCTAGAGCTGGGAAGGAACACGGGAGGCAGAGTCTCTTGGCTGAGCTCAGAGTCAGACAGGAAGCTGCTGTAAGTGTCTGCAGTCAGCTACATCCTCCAGCCCCCAATGGACCTCATGATCAGTTGCAGATGCTTTCCCACTGAGCCCTGAGCTGCATCTCAATTCTTAACTGTTTTCATATCTTCGGATTTGGATATGTTGCCGGTTGTGTGGGCCATGGCAGCAGTCCCTTTCACCTTCCTGTCCCAGGACCCTGAAACTGTCTACCAAGTCTCACTCTCCCCACATGGAAGGAGGCTTTTTTTGGTGCACTGAGGGTGCACAGCCCCTTTTGACTGAGCTCCTGGCTCATGCTGGTCTGAGTCTCTGTTTGCTGAGACCAGCTCAGCTGTAGAGACCCTAACCCAGATGGCACTGAAGGAATTAAGAAACAGACACAGAGAAAGTAAAAGGTGGGTGATCAGATTGGGGCATCAGGGGTCTCCCAGTGTTTCCAGCTGAGAGCCCAGGGCAGACTCTGACCCACGTATTTATTCTTTACTTTCAGTGACAAGTTTTACAAGTGGATGCTTTGTGTTCTTTCATTGGTTAAAGGTAAACTAACCAGACAGCTAGGGTATATTTACTATAGGTTAAAGATAAACTAGAAACATACTTTACAAGCGAACAATTGAGGTAAAGTTATATATCCTGTGTTCAAAGAACGAATTCATCTGGTGTGATACCTATTCCTATTGGTTACTGTTTTATAATGCTTTCAGCAATTTTCTGCTCTGGGGTACAGTTTTCTGCTTTGGGGGGCTGACTAGGTTTTCCTTGCTGCCACTCTCAGCAAACAATATGACACACACGTCAGAATTTGCTCTCAATATCTGCTGCCCCTTGAAGCCCCTTGGGCCTGGAAAGCACCTCCTTCCTAGACCCAGAATTTGGGTTCAGAGGCAGCAGCATTCCTGGGAGGAGTTGGAAAGTCAGGTCCTGCACCAAGAGAAGCCAGGGCTTATACATCCCAGCGAAATCCTTTCTCCAGTCTAGAAGACAGAGGCTCAGAGGAGTACAATAGGGTCAGAATCACAGTAAAAAGCAATTCTCTAGGTCCCTCTCTGCCCACAACTGTGGGAACATCACACCCCCAGAGTCTTCTTAACTTGTTCTGCATGCCTCCAGAGGTATTCCATGTATGCTCTGAAATCCATTTTCTTGGCTGTCACTTTTAGGACTTTCTGCTGTTACCTGTGTTTCTTGGGGCCACACTAGCTGTTAGGCAAAATGAGGTCCCAGTAACATTAGTAACTCAAATTTCATGGCTTCTGCCTCCTTCTGTTCACCACAGGTGTCTTCTGCTGTTGTCTCACCTGGTCATTCCTGGGACCCCCAGACTTTCCTTACATGCACTCACAACTGTCCTCTCAAGGTTAGGTTCTTCCACTTGCAGCTACTTGATGTCTATTGGCCATAAAGCCACTTGTGAAGCCTGGAACAGGCTGGCTCCGCCACTGAGGCTCTGCTGATATCAGCTGGTCTCACTTACTAC